CAATGGTGCCCAGCATGAAACACTTTCATATTTAAAAAAACATGTAGCTTTGCATAAAATTAAACATTAAGTCTCAATCACATTATTACATTTATATTTTTGTGTCACAGTGGTTTAAATTTGGACTAATATCCAGCAGTGCTGTTGCATGTATGTGCACTCCGGCTTTGTAGGGTTGTCTGCACAGTCACAGATAGTTAGCCCTGATAACAGTGTATGTGTAGCATGCAAACATTGGATAAAATACTGCACTGCTGATAATTGATGTGGAAAATGAAAACTTCACGTGTGACAGTTTCATCAAGTCCAGCTGCTTAACTTTCTGTGGTAAGTGTGTTGTGAGCTACAAGCACGTTGCACCCGCCAGTAGCCTCCACCATCGCGCTGCCTCCCTAGCGCCATTGCGGCCACTTTCTTGTCAGTCTCGGGAGAGCTCCCGCGGTCTACCCTTGGTACTTAAAGGAAAGGGAAGGCAGTGCGCCCAGTCGAGCGCCGCTTACTAAAGCAGCTTTTTACATATACGTGAGATTAGGGCTTTTAGAGGGCTAGACGATCAACCTAGTTGGTAATGCTTAGTGAAAAGTTCTTTTGAGCGCCAGCAATAAACAATTTAGAAGAGCGGCGACTCGGCCACTCTTATCATTATTCATTCTTTTGGACACCTGTCACTTCTGAGCTTGATTTATGCAGCAATTGGTCATTTCTAATGTTTTCATATATGTGCGTGATATGAAAAGGTGAAATAACAGATGCTGGCATTGTAATCAAATGTTGATGAATGAGCAAATGCAGATAAAAACTCCCTGAATTATGTTCATAGCTGACTACAAGTTGGCCCTTCTCGATTTTCTTTTTAATGTGCCACTTGTTTGACAACTATTATCATTAGAGAGTTGGCATTTTAGAGACAATGAAGTAAGGAGAGAAGTCCATTAAAAAAGAAAAATTCACACCATCTTCCCAAAGGGAATCCTGATGGGTGCAAAGCAGTAGCGTTGTGCACGGGTGGCGTCACAGGTTTAACGGCCCTAACGCGGGTGCTGTGGCGAGTGCTGGAAGACTCCTGAGCGCCACTAGTGGCAGATGTTGCGGGTGAACGGACGAGTCGGCAGCTGCGGCAAATGCGCGGCAGGCGAGGGAGTAACATCATCCCGCACTGCGACGGGAGCGTGACGTAAACGCGCAGCTGCGACGTGAGCTACTTAACACCGCTCCAACACCTGGGGCGTGGGGAGCGAGTTGCGGCATGTTTGTCGGATGCATGGAGGGACAGAGTTACACAGGCTAGTCAAAGAGCGGCTTCGCATCTAAAAAAGCGGTGCCATGTTGGCAGACGGGTCACGTTTGAGAGACCAATTCATGATCCAACAATTTTAGTATTGCATGGCTCTATTGTTCAAGTTCGTTCTGTCATTCTTGAATGCACACACAGTTGTAGTTGGCAGTTAGACAAGTAGCAGGTGCCTAATGTGACTGCCTAGCCAGCGTCACAGGCAAATGCAAACAAAAATACCTGACCGTAGTCGCTGTGTATTCCTTGTTATTATATTGTTTTTATATATGTGCGACAAGTTTTTCTCGGGCTTTGAACCCAACAGACTGAGAAACAAAGAGCGAGTCTTTCAGCAGTATAAATATCCTAAGAAATTCGTGAGAAAATGGTCACCTAACTGTAAAGGGGAAAACAAACCTACTCTTTCTACTATAGCTCTGATTGAGTCATGCTGCTGATTCAAACTAATCCAAGTTAACCTTTTATCTAGAATGAATCACATGCATTGAAATAATCGTGTTATTTTCTTATTGCACATCGATTGCACCAAAACAACCTTGAAATTTACACATCTACCCACCTAAATTCCACCAAGAGCTTTTAAATTTTCTGCGAATGGTGCCGTACTGAAGTTCAATGTTATATTGAAAAAGAAATCTGGCACTATTCATAGCTTGGCACAATGACTCTTACTGCTACATTGTCAAGATTTAAATCTTTGTTCCCGCTGAGTTGACAGATGTGTTCATATTGTGGACTGGGCAAGTGTAGAAAGGCAGCCTAGTTCATAGAAATTTCAAAAAGCGAATTAACAGGGCTAACACGGGACAAATAAGAGACAACATCGCCTGTCTTTGCATTTTATTATCCTGTTTTTAGGCCTTATTTAAGAAATATTCTGGCATCCAGCCATGTAAGAGTGCCGAGCGATGCAAAAGACTCTTAGCTGCTGCAGTGATTAAAGGAAAGTGGGTGCAACTGCTTGCCGCTTTCCTGTGAAGGACGCGCCCACTGCCATCCGAGGCGCTCGCAGCAGCACGAAGTTAGATCTGCAACATGCCTATAAGGAAGGACAGGCTCTTGCAAAATGAAATGTATCATGTGTTTACCTATTTTTTATTCTCCCTCGGGAGTTTTTCGAGTGCCTCATTTGGCTGTCTCTTAGTTTATTTTATTGATCGACATATTGACACCACGCTAACTGAACCAGGACAGATGAGAAAACACAATGCAGGTGCTGTGTTACTCCTCTCCTCTGTCACTTTGCGCTGTGTAAATGTATTGATATTGAAACACCAACTAGCCCAAGCTCCCATTCTATCGACTTATCCTATTGCCTCATTCTCTGAAATACCCGCCGCGGTGGTCTAGCGGCTAAGGCACTTAGCCGCTGACCCGCAGGTTGCGAGACCGAATCACGGCTGAGGCGGCCGCATTTTCGAAGCAGGCGAAAACGCTTGAGGTCGGTGTACTTAGATTTAGGTGCACGTTAAAGAACCACCAGGTGGTCAAAATTTGCGGAGCCCTCCACTATGGCGTCTCTCATAATCATGTGGCGGTTTTGGGACGGTAAACCTAAACAATTATTTCTCTGAAATCTATTAGGTCTTGCTTTCTGAAGCGAGTGTCAGTGTGGTGCTGTATCCTCTTTCAGGATCTGGAAGAATTTTGCTTCCGGTTTGCTATGAACCATCTTACTGCAGTGGTGCAGACGGACGCATTCCACAAACTCGAGGAGTCTGCAGTGAAAAGTTTCATCACAAAGGCTGCTGTCTACGGAGCATTCAAGTACTGACAAAGGATTTGTTGAATATATAAATTTACGTGACCATGTCCAAATACCACCAATGTTGTGCAAGCCATAGCACAGCTGCACTCTTTTAAAGCAATATGCACGGGTGTTTTGGGGTATTATGTCTGTGATATTTTTTTAACCTTGATGTGTTTTATCAAACCAGTGTTTTCTTAAAAAATAAATGCATTGTGACTATGTTTTTTTTTTTTTCTGTGAGTGTCAATTCAATATTGCCGCAAGGCAGTCTTGCAGTTAGCAAAACTTTGACGGGTGGTCTAAAGAAAAAGAAAGCCACACCAGAAGACAATTTTTACCATCTTTTCATATTCAAATGACACCTGGAAACATTGACTGGTCAACTGAGAACCTGTCAAGTGTGTATTTACACTCTCAACCAATGGTGAACACAACTCATTAAAAACTATGGGGAGAACGACTGGGAGAGGGGTGATGGAAAACTTGCTGAAAGGTTTCTGGGCAAGTAGGTGTGGTCCTCAGTCCAGGGTTCCACTTGCCTTTGCAGCTTGCTGGGCTTAGTCTAGCAAAGCCAGCTAGCTGGCTTTCCCGATCCCTGCTAGCAAACCAGGTGACAACCGCTAAAAAGCACTAGCTTTGGAGCTTGCCAGACAGTCGTCTCCTGAAGAAATGTAGTGTGGTGTAGAACCAACAGTGGCACACTGTTGAGGGGGATTGACCAAAAAGCGGGTAGTTTTTTAAAAATTCCTAATTATTGGGCTACTTGTCATGTAAAGATGAAAGTAATGGTGTAACGAAACTGCAAATACTACCGATAGATGAGTGAGAACATGGTAACTGAGCTGTGTAACTAAAAAAATAAATAGGAATTAAAAAAAAACTCTCTTTAGAAAATAGTATCAGTTGGCTCAACAATCTAAATCTTTTTGAAAATTCAGGCAGAATGTATCTCGAAACATAGGGACAGTTTTTCTTTTCTTTTTTTTTTTTTCCAGTCAGAAACTAATGACTAAACGTGGCTGGAGAGCCCGTTTTTTTTCTCAAAATTTGCAGGCTAGACATCCGAAGATATCTCGTAGCCCCTCTGTCCGGACGGGCACTTTTAGCTGTGCTCTGGGTTGCAGCAAGACGCTTGCCATTATGAGGAAGGTAATCCATACTGTATGGAACTCCACCATAACTTAGAAGTGTGGCAGCTTGGGCTAGTTGGTATGGCATGACGATAGTTATAGCGCGAGAACAAAACGACGACACAGAGACAAGAAGGACACGAAGAAGTTAGCGCTCGTGTCTTTCGTGTCCTTCTTGTCTCTGTGTCGTCGTTTTGTTCTCGCGCTATAACTATCATCGTCCACCATAACCATCCTATCTCAGGCCGGTTCACGGACACAGAGTTGGTGCCGCCACGACCTGAGTTAAGCATATTGCTTGTCGTGGTCCGTGTGTTGCGCGATAAACTGCATCCAGCGTGAAAGGGATGTAGTCGTAAAGGGCCTGCTGTGGTAAAGTGAAGTGTGAAGTTTCATGAGAAAGAACACATGAGCGAGCTCCGCACGACTCCAGAGGTTTACGCCGTGTGCGCTGAGTAGATGCCTCGCGTGTTTCAGAAAAACGAGTTTGAACCCATTGGCAAGGCCATGAGCAACTGTGTCGAGCCTGCTGCACGAACGCAACACTTTATATTTGATAAAATCACTTTACACGTTGGGGAGATAAATTCGTGTGGTTTGTTTGTAGACACCTTGCGAAATAATAACCATTTTTCAAATACTTATTTTTGAAATTTTTATTTTAGTAAATTGTTATTGTAAGTTTGCTGTTATTTCTTGAATAATTAAAACAATAACTTTTTAGTTGTTGACTAAATAACGAAGCTTTAAAAATTATTTTGTACAACAGCTAGCGCCATTAGTAACGAGTGTGCGCTTACAACTTTATGTGAGCAAGAGCACGCTTGCGCCTCGTGGAGGCTCCAACTAAAATGGCGCTAGTTAATCGTGGCGTTGTTCGGAAGGCCGCAGGATGATCGTTTCTCCGTGTTCGGACACTGCATCGGCACCTAAATTACTAAGCCGCTCTTCATCATGGCCTCAAAAGAGTCGAAAACAGTCAGCAACCTTTCGCCGGAGTCCATGAAGGTTATTGCCGAATCAATCGGAATTTCGAATTTACCCGATGAAGCAGCCAAAGAGCTGGCCGACGAGATCACATACCGTCTCAAAGTTATAGCTCAGGTATGTCATCGATCCCGCGGTTCCGGGCCGCGTGGATGAACGGACCACATCCTCCTCGATCTGTGCTCGCTGCTTCTGCCGCCCGTGCTCGATAATATCCGCTCGAAGTACGTTTTGTCCGAGCCGTGCCTTGACAGCAATACTGCCCCGCTGAGCGCACTGCACGCGCATTCGCGCGCCAAGCGGCAGCGATTTGAAATCTAACGCCAGGGCATGCGCACTGAAAGAGCACGTAAATGAAACATTTCGCCCCACTGTCATCTGCATCCGCGTATTTTGTCGCGCGTGCGGCCGAGTTTCGGCTGCTTCGGGCGACGGTTTCTCGTCTAAGTCGCTCGAGTCTCTCGTTTCTTCGGGGTGATTTACTTTTTTTTAACTTCTTTTTTTAATACAGGATGCCAGCAAATTTATGGGACACGCAAAGCGAAGAAAACTGTCCACGTTTGATTTCGACAACGCGCTCAAGATGAAAAACGTCGAGGTAAGCGGCCAAATTTCGACTTCGTGTTTGCGCGACGCGCGCTAGCTGGCCTGTTTGAACCGCTGTCGTAAGCTGTCGCATGCAATCGCGGGAGGTTTCGGCTGCCGTTGCTCCCGCTGTGGTGGCGGCGACCTTCCAGTGCGTCTCGCGATCAGCATTTTTTTTTCCTTCTCGCTTTTCGTAAACAAACTCCACTCTCCTCGCACGGCTGAAACTGTGCTGACCACAGCGCGGTTTCATTTTGACTCGAAATTGTGATATGCGTATCGCGCGGTAAAAATATGGCCCGGGAGCTTGTTGCAGTTTTATTTAGTACCACAGATTTACGGTCTAAACTGATTGTGCGTGTGTAAGCGCTCTCACATTTCCGCACATTTTCTCCCTTCCTAGAGTGGATAGAAATGTGCTACAATTTTTGTGGAGTCCGGAAGTTTTTTTTTTTTTTTTTTCTTCCGTTATGCTGTATCGATGTCCATTTGCATGCAACAGAAATGGCAGTGGACATTTGTTGTAGCATGAAACTTAATGAGTAATTGGGCTGATAGCTGAACGAGTGCCTCTCAAATTCATAAGTCTCCCAAAATATTCTTGCAGCGTATGTACTGCAAATAGTGGCAGATTGGTAAATTGAAAGTAGTGCAAATTGGTAAAGCACATTTCTTAGGACTGGAAATGTCGCCTTTCCGGAACTATCAGTCGCAGAGTAATGGAACGGCCAAAAAACAAACTAGAAAATTGGTCTTGACGTATCTGCACAAGCCCCTTATGACTTGTTGAAATTTCAACAGTATTGCTTTGATCTAGTCAGATAAACAACCATTAGATTTCATTCTAAGTAGGAAATACTTAAGTTCCAGAGTTTTGAGTGCTTTTTTTTTTTAACTGGCAATGGCCTAAGCACGATGATGCTTTCAAATTTATGATAACAGCATACTGTGGTGTTTGAGACATCAAGTTAAAATAGAGAAACGGTGCTCTCTGGGATGTTTGCTGACACCCAGCCTTTCTTTAATAAGCCAGATTAACTCATGTTTAGACCTGAACAAAACATGCTTTGCAAGTGTAAGCTCATGCAGTATGGTTTTTTAGTATCACTACAACACAGTACTGGTGCTTACCTTCAAAATTTGCTACATGTGCCATGCACATTGCGTGAAACACATGTACAAGTCAGGAACACTTGGAAGCGTGTGTAATTTGTCTTAAAACACTGGACCTGGCATCATAAACATTATGATGAATGGCATATAAAATTAGCCACCCTTGTGAAACGGTGTGGCTATGTTATTTGTGTAAGAGAAAAATGACTGTTGTGTACATTACTGTGCACACTACTTTATACACTTCCTTTATGTGAAGGTATGGCAAACGTTTGTGAGGAGCCTCTTGCGCATGATTGGCTACAGAATATTGAAAGCAAATTTGTTTTATTGAAAACCTTTTTGACGTTAATGTGTACAAATGCCAGCAACGTGGATAAACAAAAGCACTGGAAGAAGTGCTTTGCGAAAGCAGAAATAGGCAACAACTAACTGCCTTTGTGTTGGAGGAAAATAATATTTTGTTAGACTCCGCAAACACAGCCTCAGTAATAATTTGCAGGATGAAACGAGTAGCTGTAATAGCTTATACTGGGCATACTTCAATTAACATTGCACAAATGAAAGAACAAAAAAATTTGAATGTATTGAAATTTTATGGCCACAATAATAATTGAGCACACTTAAAGATCTCACTTAGAACCATTTGCGTAATCTCTTTTTGTTATTGTTTGTGTGCCTGAAATAAAGTGTACTGAAGCCACAAAAAGCCATTATTTTTCGAAATGTGAACAAAGCTACGCAAGAGGTTGCATGTTATAAGCAACTAATAGGAATGTTTTCAAGTTGGCTCTTTCAACTTTGTGTATGGTAAGGCACTAATGTGAAGATTAATACTCTATAACTACTAACTACCTAGTTATAAAAATACAATATAATGTTGGCAGCTTTTTCAGTGGGTTACTCACAGATGCAAATAAAAAAGGGCTGTTATTTTTTTCTTAGTTTCAGTTGCCTGAAACAGCCTCTATACTAATAATAAAGCCTTTTTGCTTGTGTCACCTTTACACTCATGTATTTTCGTGGATATGTGCATTTTCTAGGTATGGAAGTGCATGAGAATGCAAGCTATAGAAAAGGCATTATTGAAGCACGTTGCCTTTGTTGTGTATGGCTGTGCGCTAATGCCTGCTGGTGTTTTGAGGGAACCGATAGGGCAAATAAGTCGTATAATGCATGCAAGGAAACAGAATTGCCAAAGGAGAGAATGCGTGTCAAGGACATGCGAGCAGAAATATCGAGGGTAGGCTATAATTGGCTCTTAGCCCATGCACAGATGTAATTGATGTGACAACACAATGACTTTGGGAAGTACCACTTTTTAACAAAGGCCTCCCAGTTCTTTTGCAAAGAAAAAAAAAAACTAATTCTTTTGTAAAGTAAGCGTTATTCTGAATTGGCCACAACTTCACTTTGCCACATTGTTTAGAATAGTGTGGTGTCTTATTGCAGTGATGGAGATTGCCTGCAATCTTAGTTTATTCCTCGTTTGTTTGCCCAGAGTTTCATTTCCAATTAACTCATAAAATTATAGTTTGAGCAGCGTGAAAACATGTGGGCACTGTAAGGAGACTTGAATGATATTGTCACGTTAAAGAGACAGGAGACGTTTTTAAGGCGTCCTCACAAAAGTCCGAAGAGCGGTCGGCTCAGCGCAGCCAAAAACAGAACAATGGCACGAGGGGGACTGCCACTTCGTCTGCCTCTTTTGCGCTGGCAGCTCAAGCGCGCGGCACTGCCCCTCCTCCCTGAAGAGCATCGCCTCGATGCTAAACGAAGCGTGTATCGTAAAAAAAAAAACATTGTCACAGTGTGTGGTACGGTTTTAACCGCACCACGTGCACAATCTCGGGTCGTAGCTGTCGGCGTCGGGGTGGTTGGCTTCCGTCCGGAAGGACTTCGTAATTGACGTCGCTCACTTGTCGTAGCACTTTGTACGGGCCAAATACCGACTGAGAAGCTTCTCAGAGAGACCTTTGCAGCGCACAGGGGTCCAAACCAACACCTGGTCACCTGTTTATAATCGACTTGTCTGTGGCAGCGCTGTGCATCGACGCCTTGTTGTTTCTTGATGTTTACGCGGGCTAGTTGACGTGCTTCCTCGGCTCGTTGCACGAAACACTCAGCATCTTCGTCGAGATTCTCGATGTTGTCAATGTCGCATGGGAGCATTGCGTCCAACATCGTCTGAACGTCCCGACCGTATAGAAGACGAAACGGAGTGAATCGTGTGGTCTCTTGCGTAGCGGTATTATACGCGAATGTTACGTAAGGCAGTATTTCATCCCACGTCTTGTGCTGTACGTCTATGTACATAGACAGCATATCAGTCATCGTTTTGTTAAGCCGCTCGGTCAGTCCATTTGTCTGAGGGTGATACGCTGTTGTCTTGCGATGCGTGGAGTAACTTAACTGAAAAACTTGTTCAAGGAGCCTTGCTGTAAACGCTGTTCCTCGGTCTGTGATGACACAGGATGGAGCACCGTGGCGTAATACAATTCTCTCGATGAAAAACTGAGCAACTTCACAAGCCGTGCTTTTAGGAAGCGCCTTAGTTTCAGCATAGCGGGTTAGATAATCTGTAGCGACGATTATCCACTTGTTGCCGGAAGATGACAAGGGAAACGGACCCAGGAGGTCCATGCCGACTTGATCGAAGGGTGTTCTGGGTGGCTCGATAGGGTGAAGTAATCCCGCAGGCTTAACAGATGGGGATTTTCGGCGCTGGCATTCGCGGCAGGCTTGAACGTACTGTTTAACGCAAGCGGCAAGTTTCGGCCAGTAGTAAGACTTTCGTACCCTAGCGATGGTTCGGGTGATGCCCAGATGGCCCGATGGAGGCTCGTTGTGGCAGGCAAATAGAATTTCCTCACGCAGCTCTGCGGGGACGACCAACAGGTAAGTTTTGTTGCTGGCGGCTGCGTTCTTCTTGTACAACACGCCCTGTCGTAAGCAGAAGGATGACAATCCGCGAGTTATATGCTGGGGCAGTGATACGTTGCGGCCCTCTAGATGTTCAATGATAGGTCGCAATTGAGCATCTGCTCGCTGCCGTAAAGCCAAGTCTGTTACGCTTACGGAGCCAAGGAAAGGGCAGTCCTCTTCGAAGCTCTGAGCGGCAGGCTCAACTGGCGCGCGTGACAACGTGTCCGCATCTTCGTGTGCACGACCGGACTTGTACACGATAGTGACGTCGTACTCCTGCAGACGTAGGCTCCACCTTGCCAGTCGTCCGGAGGGGTCTCTGAGGTTCGCAAGCCAGCACAGCGAGTGATGATCCGTCACTACTCTGAATGGACGGCCGTAAAGGTAAGGTCGAAACTTAGCAATTGCCCACACGACAGCAAGGCACTCCTTCTCCGTGGTACTGTAGTTTGACTCCGGGCGTGTTAGGGTTCGGCTTGCGTAGGCGATGACCTTTTCAATTCCCTCCTGCCGTTGGACGAGTACCGCGCCCAGACCGACGTTACTGGCGTCGGTATGAATTTCTGTTTCGGCTTCCTCGTCGAAATGTCCAAGAACAGGTGGTGATGCCAGGCGAAGCCGAAGCTCTGTGAATGCTGATTCTTGTTCAGCACTCCAAACGAACGGCGTATCGTCTCTAGTGAGTCTAGTTAATGGTTCGGCAATTTTCGAAAAATTGCCTATAAAGCGCCGGTAGTACGCGCATAGACCAAGAAACCGCCGCACACTTTTCTTATCGGCAGGAGTCGGGAAGGCTGCGACAGCGGCGGTTTTCTCAGGGTCAGGACGGACGCCTTCTGCACTTACGACATGTCCAAGGAACTTTAGTTCTTCGTAACCGAAATGGCATTTTTGCGGCTTTAACGTAAGGTTAGCCGTCCGAATCGCCTCAAGTACTTGTCGTAGTCGCTTCAGATGTTCGGAGAAGCTGGTTGAAAACACGACCACATCATCCAAGTACACAAGGCAGCTTTGCCATTTTAAGTCAGTCAACACAGTGTCCATCATGCGTTGGAAGGTAGCTGGCGCAGAGCAGAGTCCGAACGGTAGCACCCGAAATTCGTAGAGGCCATCCGGCGTGACAAAGGCGGTTTTTTCGCGGTCGCGCTCATCAACCTCAATTTGCCAGTAGCCACTCTTTAAATCCAGGGAAGAAAAATACTTCGCTCGTCGTAGTCGGTCAAGCGAGTCATCAATACGCGGCAGCGGATAAACATCTTTTTTTGTGACGTTGTTGAGCTTTCTGTAATCTACACAGAAGCGAAGCGTACCGTCCTTCTTCTTAACCAGAACGACCGGTGAGGACCAGGGACTGTTCGAAGGCTGGATAACGCCGTCGTCGATCATTTCTTTCACTTGCTGCTTGATAGCTGCGCGTTCTGTCGGCGAGACGCGGTATGGCTGTTGGTGAATAGGTCTTGCGTCGTCGTAAGTGATTATCCTGTGCTGTGTAATTGGCGTCTGACTCACTTTAGACGACTGAGCAAAGCACGCCCTGAATTCAAACAATAGCTCTCGCAAGGCCCTCTGGTTCTCTTCTGGCAGTGCACTGTTCATGTCAACATCTATTACGGTTTGTCCATTGCGGCTACTGTCTTCACAGGCAAAACACTCAATGACGTCCTCCAAGGCTTCAGCGTAGGCGACCGCAGTGCCCCGGAAAAGGTGACGATGCTCATTGGTGAAATTTGTAATCATGACCTCGGCTGTACCGTTCCGAATGTCAATGATGCCTCGTGCCACAGAAATTCCAAGCGCCAGCAGCAGGGAGACGTTGCACTCTGCCACTGTTTCACCGTCACTGGTTCCTTCGGAAGTCACCTGAATTAGGATACTTGCACGAGGTGGTATTGTGACACTGTCGTCGGAAACACGGAGGGCGGTTGTACGGCGGTTGGAGTCCCTTGACGTAGCGTTGACTGTCGAAAAGGAAATGCAGCGTCGCCGTAGGTCGATTACGGCGCCATATTCCCGAAGAAAATCGAGGCCGAGAATTAATTCGCGGGAGCAGTCACGTAGCACGATGGAGCTGACCAAAAACGTGCAGCCTCGTATTTGTAGCCTGGACGTGCACAAACCAACCGGCGTTACAACATGTCCGCCAGCTGTACGTACATGCGATCCTGTCCAAGGCATTATCACTTTCTTCAAGGTACGTGCCAATTGTCCGCTAATAATCGAGTAGTCAGCACCAGTGTCTATTAAGGCAGTTAAATTGCGACCGTCGAGCAGCACAGGTATGTCCATTGAAAAGTCGCTCAGCTGGGATACAGGCGCCGGCGTAGTCGAATTTCCGTTGGTCCGATGTCGCGTCGATTGGAGGGCGAGGTCTTCATCACGTCGAGAATCAGCGGCCTCGCCTCGAAAGGTCGCTGGCGTTAGTTTTCCAGGCGAGGGCTCGGAGACCGTCCTTGCGGCCTTCGATTTCCGTTGCCTGAATAAGATGACGACCGCGGTGACGGTGAGCGCGACTGACGCCTGAGTGGGACGTTCTGCCGAGCGATAAAATCTTCAATTTCTGGTGGTCTCTGTCCAAACCGGGGGCGGGGTGAATTGGCAGGAAAACCCTGCAGCCCAAGTCGGCGGTACTGGCAGTCTCGGTAGAGGTGACCCGCTTCACCGCAGTGGTAGCAAAGCGGTCGTCGGTCGGGCATGCGCCATATGTCGGATTTACGCATGACGGGTCGAGTGTCTGCAAAATAAGGGACCACCTGTGCGGACTGCAGTGTGGCGTACGGGGTTGCGGCTGGTAGTGGGACTGGTGCAGGTGCGTTGTGTTCGAACGTGTCGGTATAAGTGGTGCGCTGGAAACCACTCACTGGGGATGGTGTCGTGGACGACGGAACGGTGCGTCTCAATACGTCTGCGTAGGTCACCCCTAGGGGTTCACTTGAAGTTGCGAACGCCTGAAGTGGTGCAGCAACCTGCGTTGGTGTCTCGCGGCGAGGTGTGCCGAGCGCATGCTGAACTTCGTCACGTATGATGGTGGCGATGCAATTCGTGGAAGGCTGCTGCTGCGCCTGGTTCAGCTGTTGCAGCTGTTGTAGCTCGTCGCGAACAACCGAACGTATCAGCTCGCGAAGCGCTCCCACGTCGGTCGGGAACGAGCCTAGCCCGGTGGTATAGGTAGCATTCACTTGCCGATCGTACTGGTTCCGCTGCTGCAGCGCCTTTTCCATGGCGACGGCTTCAGTGAGGAACTCCGCGACCGTTCTAGGCGGACTACGAATGAGTCCAGCGAAGAGCTGCTCTTTCACACCTCGCATCAAGTGTCGCAGCTTCTTGTCTTCCGGCATGGTTGGATCGGCGCGAGTGAACAGATGAACCATATCCTCCACGTATGTAGCCACACCTTCATTAGGCATCTGCATGCGGGACTGGAGGGCCCTTTCAGCGCGCTCTCGACGATCGAGACTCGAGTACGTTTCGCGGAGCCTGTGACAGAACTCATGCCACGACGTTAGGAGGCCCTTGCGGTTCTGGAACCATGTGCGAGCACCATCCAGAAGACTAAAGTACACATTCTTGAGCTTCGCTACTTCGTCCCACCCGTTGAAATCCGCTACGTACTCGTACTCAGCCAGCCAATCTTCCACATCTTCATAGAGGCCACCACGAAAGGGACTCGGAACACGTGGTTTTTGTAGCGTGTAATGAGTGGGTGCAGCTGCGGGTGCAGCGGTTGGAGCAGCGGCGGCTCCAGCGGTAGGGGAAGCGGTGACAGCAACAGTATTCTCCATACCAGTCGACGTACTTGTACTGTGAGGCACAAACTCGGGGGACAGTCCTCGAATCCTCCGACTGAAACGGTGTACCGGCGTAAGCTCTGGGTTTTGGGTCACGTTCCGGCTGCTAGAAGGAGTCTGTTGCATAGGGGAGGTTACCCAGCACCTCCACCATTAAAATGTCACGTTAAAGAGACAGGAGACGTTTTTAAGGCGTCCTCACAAAAGTCCGAAGAGCGGTCGGCTCAGCGCAGCCAAAAACAGAACAATGGCACGAGGGGGACTGCCACTTCGTCTGCCTCTTTTGCGCTGGCAGCTCAAGCGCGCGGCAATATCTATTTATTTATTGTAGTGGATTGGTAATTGTTCATAGTAGATTTTGGTGCACCTACATGTTACCTTTACGTTTATTCCACTCTTGTTTGACTTCCTAACAAGTTCAATAAATCTAGTGTTTGCTCACAATCGAATACCTTTACAGGGCTATAGTACTCTTTTTGTGAGAGCATTCAGTCTTTATTAGAAACCAGGGGTTGATGATATAGCTACTGATTGAGAAATAATGGTTAAGAAATGAAGCTTTACCCTTGTGAAGGAGGGAAAAGGAAAGGTAGGAATGTTAACCAGTATAGTTTAATTTGCACAAGAGTAATTAAGCTATTTATTTTGTATTTTCTTAATCACTCCATGCAAGTGATGGCAACATATTGCAGCATAGGTGGGTTTTATTGCAGAGAAATTGAACACAAAAAAAAACAGCTTTTAAAAAGCATAACATTTGCTTGGCTATGCAAAAACAAAATTTGTGTTGAAAAGTTCATTTTGAGTGGCAGCCACAAAGTGTTTATATGTTATGGCTCCTGGATGTAAAACCGTGTATTGTTCCTTGCATTTTTGTATTATAGCTCTTCCATTTTGCCATCTAATGACTCATCAACATGTGTCCATTTCAGCCGCTCTACGGTTTCCATTGTCCAGACTATGTGCCTTTCCGATATGCCAGTGGTGGTGGCCGAGAGCTCTTCTTTGTTGAAGAGAAGGAGTTGGAGTTAAACGAAGTCATTAATTCTCAGTTGCCTAAACTCCCACTAGATGTTTCCATAAAAGGTAGGGGCAAGTACAATTTTCAGTATAGATAGATATGTTTGGAGAGATGCTTAGAGTAGTGCTATTACCCACTACATTTTCATTGCTTTATTAAGGGAGAGTCTTGTTAAAAAAGTTTTACGTCTCAGCTTGTTTGAATAATTCAATGGGTGAGACCAGAAAAGTGATTTGGTCGCATGTGATTTTCTCTGTAAGAATCGAGAGGAAAACTGTTTCAAACCACATTAGGGATGATGTGGAGTCAAGGTGGAAAGCCACGTTTCCTGCACCATTGTTTATGGTATTGCTAGAATGATTTTATGCTTCATTGCATGGTAATCTGTGTCATTTCTCATTCCAGCTCATTGGTTGAGTATAGAAGGAATCCAGCCCACAGTACCCGAGAACCCACCACCTGGTACGAGTGTTTTTTTCTCATTATTTGTTTCTTTCGCTTCAGTGACATGCACTGCTAGCAGAATGACTGTTAAGTTATATTGCCTCTTGCTTGTTGCCAGTTTCATAAGAGCACGAGAGTTCTAAATGGATAATTACACAGTTATATGTATGTATTCTTTCAATTGCATGAAGCTGTGAAATGGTACAATAGTTACCAAATAATAGAACAGTTACTTGTTACTGTTGGGTTGAAGAAGCATGACTGCACGATCCGGAACATGCACCCCAAAATATGTTACATCTGTGCTAGTTAGAGACGGAATTGCGGGTGAATTGAAGTAGTACACTTGGAAGAATTTAGGCATAGGCAGCTGATCTGGTACTGTATAAATGAGCTTGACATCCAAAGTACATTGCTCCTGCTGTGCAGTTTCCAAAGACCTACAACGTGTGGAGAGCATTGACCCCGTGACCAAGCTGAGTAAGGTCGTGGTTCCTGGCTCGAAGGTACCCGGCCTTCCAAGCAAGCAAGAGCGCACCAAACAAGTTGAGACTGTCCGTGTCAAGCAGCTTGCCACGCACGAGCTGTCTGTGGTAAGTGGCACCCCATAGATTGAAGGCCTGTATCAACGTTTTTTTTCTGTTTATTGGTGCTGTGGAAAGGCAAATACTCACCTACATGTGCTTTCTGTCTTGGTTCATTTCTTTTTCCCAGTAACGTGCTAGCACATAGGCAAGTATGAGAAAGCCACCTTTCATAGAATTTTCCGTGTAGGTAGATAGGCATTTGCTGTCGTAGAATTTTCACACGGCAACGAAACCACCATGTGCATACCTCACATGGAAGCTCAGATTCCAGCAATGGCAATGCCAAAAATTCCTTTTTTTTTTTGCTTGAACGTGTTGATGTGTGGAAGAAAAAAAGACGTTGGGAGGAATGAAAGGGTCAATGCATATAATTTTCTTCGCTGAAATTGATATCTTGTGATTACATTGTGCGTTAACCAAAAACACATGCTGTATTTGCAAGGCGTCTTGAGGTATATTGATTCTGCTTTTTGGACTACTAATTGTTTTCAGGGCCCTCTTCTGTAGTTCTTTGTAGTTTATAAGTATGCCATGTAAGTCATGCCCAATGATTCACAACTAAGATGGTTATATGGCAAAATGCATAGTTAAAGAATTTGAGTACTTCTCCAGGAAAACATTGCCTCGCTCTAATTAGGTTGTAAGAAGTGCATGTGACCTTGTATTGGCATGTTAAGTTGTGAGAAGGGTGTCTCAGACAAACAAAAACAACAAAGTTTCTGGCTCACTTACAGTGACTAAGTGACTGCATTGTCACTTGTTCTGTTGTGACAGTGTTGCTATGGCGACTTTAGGTTCGGAAGATATGCTGTAGATGTAGAGCAGCAAGCATTCCAGATGTAACATGTCTTCCAGTAACAGATGGAGATGGATACAATCTACAGGCAATGCACTCCAGTTTGCAACTTCCCACTAGTGCAAAGCTAAAATTAAAGGTTGTGTATGGAACTGCAGGCTATTCACTTTAATTTCTTGCTGCTGATGATATGGCTCTTTTCGATGTTTGTGGTAGTTTATGTGCCCGATATATAATGGCAAATGAACGATTCATACAAAACTAAAGAAAGGGTGTCGGAAAGCGTTTTGCAGGCTTTGGTCATAGCAGATGATAATTCCTAATAATTATTGTTTAGATAATCCTTGTTACTGCATCACATACAAGTGCAGTTGCATAATACACTGTTATACTTTTTGTTTTCCAGGAGCAGCAACTTTACTATAAGGAAATTACAGAAGCCTGTGTTGGATCTGACGACTCGAGGAGAGCGGTGAGTGTCAGACAGGTGCAGATGCTTTTTTTTGTGTGTTTGTGTGTGCTTGTGTATCTATTCTCTCACATGCTTGCTAGGAACACTTCTAAAGTTTCAGTCATTGACAGTATACCACAAATTTGAAATAGGCACACAAAGTACTTATCAAAAGAGTCTTTCCCATTTTATTTAAATGTAAAGGTTACATGCTAGCATAGAAGAGTGGACCATCATTGTAACATGAAATTTAAAAATTAACCAATAAGGCAGCATTTATCAGTAGGGTTTGTTGAAACATGAGCAGCGACTCTTTTTTTTCTCATTTCGAGGGACACATTGTCAAGCTGGTGACAGCGTAGCATTTAATGTTGTGGGTGAGTAAGTTATTTGGTGCAGCATTTTGTGACAAAACGTGCACGTGGATAATCATCCCACGACGGGACCGACAGGTCTAGCGTGCCGGCCCAGTCATGATCGCGCTGAACGGCCACGATTTGGTCTTCGAAAATAGGACTTCGCGAGTGTGCCCCACTCTTCCTTGCTGGACATCTGGCCTAACGACCCGCACTCCCAGAGCATGCAAGCCAAAGTAGCAATTTCACCACAAGCTGTGCAAAAACTATTCATGTAATTTTCTATTGATGGTCAGCAACTACCTATGGTCAGTAGCATTTAAAATAGGCTCATCTACTAAAGATTCATACCCAAGTACTAACCTTGATAATGCATGCTTTTTCCATACAATCTTTCAGAATGAAGTCAAAGATGTACTCCTTAGAGCACATTTAAAAATTGAAGTCTTGAATGCACTAAGTTGTCCCATTTTCTCATATATGTATGCATAATGTGTTATAGTATATGTACCAACTCATGTGACCAATTTATGCTCCTATATGGAACACCGGTGTCTGCGCTGCTATTGCTCTTTTTGTCTCCCTCTTTTGTTTATTTGCTTTGCAATGATACGTATATGTAATCTAACCCATTTCCAAACCTTTGTACTTGTTGTATTTATTTTGTATACGCTTTCTCCTAGTTCTCCGCAATATCATGCTGTTCTTGTATTTATTCTTCTATTCTTTTTAACAATGCAGTTGCTTTTTGTGAAGAATGTACAGTGTGGTGCTAGAGACCTAGTCAGGTGACTCATAATGTTACCTTTAGTCTATAGCACCGCAACAATCACAAATTTCCAAACAAATAAATAAATAAATAGAAAAAAAGGATGGGCAGATTTGGGTGATCTGAGTATGATCGCCTGCAGCCTGCTTAGCATGGAGCTTGGAGTGAAGTGACAGGATGACCCTTCTCTCCAAGAATTTTGTCTCATTGCGCGTGCTTGGAGCATTCCTGTGTCTGGAAGGAAAGTCACCCAAACAGAGCTCTGTGTGCAGTTCGGTGCTACAAATCGTGCACTCGATAAAAGTGGCAAATGTCATGCATTGGGCGGGGGGGGGCAGCACATGTACTGCTCATAATAATGCACACTCTTTTGGCACCGCATGTTAGATGGCGCTACGTACAGAAAGTCATGCAAATAGTCTATGTTTTGCTGCTTTACATGCAGCTTTCAGGAGGTTAGTGAAACAAGATAATCTCTAATGATCTGGAATGCAAACCACCGAATGATGCCAGTGTCTGTCTCTATATTTCTCTGTAGCAGATTTTGTCATTTTGCTTGAGTACTTGGTCTGATAAAATAACAGTTGATGTAGTTACGTAGCAGACGAAATTAGAATTCAAAAACACCCAAGCTTTAATTTTTTGGTCTATGTTAAAGGTGTACCCGCACAAAAAACTTGTCACTCTCCTCTGTCTTCAATATAGCTTTTAACTTATATTTACATGCCGGCTCAAACAAGCGTTGCTGTATTATGTCACATGTTTTTCTGCCTCATTTGCATTACTGTTCTTATGACTTGAAATATTTTTGCATCAAATCAAACATTCTTGGATAATGTTGTTTTGCAGGAAGCGCTGCAAAGCTTGGCTTCAGATCCAGGTCTCCACCAGATGCTGCCACGGTTATGCACTTTCATCTCGGAAGGGGTAAGCAGAGTTTACGCGCTTGGTCATTTACGCTCGTCTATACTTATGAAATGATTTCATGCACATTATTGACTTTTTTTCTTTTTTTGTGTGCTGAACGCAGAAGTTTGGTACTTCAAAAGATTTGGGGGGGGGGGGGGGGAGCATTTTTTGATTTCCAAGTACCAGAGAGCGCAATTTGCTGTGTCATGCATGTTTTTATTATTAAGGTTGAGCTACACCTGCAAAAAGACAATATGATTTCATTCAAGATAATTAGTACAATGCTTCGGGCTTGCAAGAAACTGACAGCAAAATTTTGTCTTTGCTCGCCATTTTCTTTAATATGCGCCCTTCGTGCCAAGCAGTCCTCAAAGCAGTAAGCTTTAATCAGATCTGACGTGTAACTTTTCTTTGCAATGGACTACATGCGTGCTGAGTGTCCTATCATATCACCTGTGTTGTTATTACTGTTAACAAGACAGGCTGCAGCTGGCCTGTCTTTTTGTCTCTGGCATTGTTAGGAAAGACCTAGCATCACTCTTTCTGTGCGTTGCATATGAAGACATCCCGCTTTTCGGTTGAACCACACATGCTGTAACAAGCGGGCTCGTGTGTACATTATTGGCACCAGGATTGAAGGACAAAAGCCTCTGAGATGTAGCAACAAGGGGCACCCATACAAAAACTTTTCATGCCCTTTCCACGGGGGCAAAGGTGCATGCACCACCGCGCCACATAAGAGATAGATTGCCGTCTAAACGGCGCAACTGCCTCTAATTTGTAGTTTTGCATTTTGCTGCTGCATTTGTTTACACCTCTCTCACTGACCGGAACTTCTATTTTTCCAGTTGCATTTAGCAAGATACTACTGTATACTATAATTGAAAAAAATTTCATTACTGCTTGCTTGCATTTTTGTAAGTTGTAGGGTAGGCAGGTCTGGGTTATATAATACATGATTCCAGTTCTTGTTACTGTTTCTGTGGTTTATTCATGACACTTACCCTGCATTTCCAGGTGAAGGTGAATGTCGTGCAGAACAATCTGGCATTCCTCATTTACCTTATTCGAATGGTCAAGGCACTGCTTGACAACCAGACTTTGTACCTCGAGAAATATGTAAGTGACCAGAGCTTCACGTTACTGAGAAAAATGAGTCAAGTTGTAAATTCCTGCTTCCTCAGTTCAAGTGCCAGCATGAATTATTTGAATTTTTAGTTGCCCTTGTGCTAATTAATGGACACAACATAGCCAGTAGCCACGCATGCCATCAAAACATTCACCACATTTTTTGATAACGGACTTTCTCTCATGGCTGCATAGAAGGAGAAAATAATGTCTGTCCTTTTGTTGACGAGACATTCTACTCAACAGCAATTGCATATTTCTTCTTGCAGCTGCATGAGCTCATACCCTCGGTGGCAACATGTATTGTGAGTAGGCAACTGTGCACCAGGCCTGATGTGGACAACCATTGGGCGCTGCGAGACTTTGCGTCCCGTCTGATGGCCCAAATCTGCAAGTGAGTTTCCTGTCTTACTGTTTGAGTGTTTCATCCTACACCAAAGGTAGGCACGTGAACGATGCAACTGACTTTTCGCTTGCTCGCGTATAATGTGAAAGAAACAATCCCAGCTCTTGCCTGTCTCCATGGCTTTGCTCTGCAAACCAGAGGCAGGAAAGAGCTTGCGGGTGCATCATGAAACTGGAGCTGAGGAAAGCTGGGCCACTGCATGGTCATGTTGAGGTAAACTTGATCTTCAGTTTCCATTTCACCCGACGCATGGTTTTCCACAACAGGTAGAACAATATTGTGTCGCAACTGCTTTCGCACATTGCTGCAAATACGATTAATGCATCAGTTTCATTAAGCGACCAAAGTTGCACAAGCATAACTGGAGAAAATGTACAGAGAGTGGTCAGCAAAGGCGCCTGAACAGGTGTGCATCATTTGAAATCTTTCGGGAACAAGACACACATAGCCATGTTTGCAAAGTACAGGATCATTTGTTGGGCAGACTTTTACACAGAGGAAAGGACAAATGAAATGACTCTGTGATGGCTCGCTGCATGATGTAAGGCTCCCTGCTGGTTTATAAGCGTAAACCTATCAAAACAGGAGGCCAAACCTAGCTAATGCTCTACCCTTATGCTCCATTAACAACATGATGCCAAGGCAGCATGCGTATAAAATTGAAATTGCTGCTTTAATGTCCCTTTAATACGCCCTTCCCTGTTCTTGCCGTTATGCAACCGTAGCCAGCCACGCAGCTTCTGAACATTGCAGTACGCCGTATGTCTTTGTCTTCTGACTCTTTCCGTGTACTTTTTTTCAATGCTGTTGTTGCACTTGCTGTAACACACACTTTTTGTGTGCCCACAGGAACTTCAACACAAGCACCAACAATGTGCAGACCCGCGTGACACGCATGTTCAGCCGGGCGCTGCAGAACGACAAGATGCCGCTTGCGTCTCACTATGGGGCTGTCTCGGGGTTGGCTGAGCTTGGGCCTGAGGTGGTGCGGTCCTTCGTGCTTCCACGAGTGCGGGCCTTGGGTGAAAAACTGCGCCAGGCTCTTGAGGAGCCCGGTGTCTCACCCGTGGACAAGAAGGCAGCCGAGCACATCAAGCAGCTTCTTCTGGTACGCCACGCCACCAGGCCTTTCTAAACACACATATGTACGCTGTTTCACCATATGCTAGGCAGCACTACAGAGGCTAAAGAGGCTTTTCTGACTGCTAGCATTTATATCTGTAAAATAATTTTATACATGTGAATGTGAGGTATAGGTGCCACTCAACTCGTAGCCATGACAGCGAGTGTTCTACAGTCGCCTCCATGGCTATGAGTAGTATTGGCTAACACCCCCATGATTGGGAACACAAAATTGCTCAATAAAGTAGATGATTGCCACTGTGGCTTAATCGGTAGAGTATTGAACAAATTATTTGAAGATTGTCGGTTTGGTTCCTTCCTTATTGGTGGCAAGTTTATTTTTCATCCTAGTTCCTTCCCAGAAATGTCATAATTACTGTACTACAGCTAAAAACTATAAATAATGCACTCTGGGCATACCTTGTCTTCATTACCTGATGGTTTAATTTGATTGTGTCTAACTAAAAGAATGAGCCCTGGATTTATTAATGTATTTACTCGATTCTACCGCGCCCTCGATTGTAACACGCATCCGGTTTCCACGACGAAAAAAAAGTAAGACATCGATTGCAACGCGCACCCATTTTTCTCGTTGGCCCGCAAGATCACACTACTCGGAAAAACGACTCCTTTCGGGAGCGTCTTCCGTTTAAATATGAGGTACGGGGGAAGCTTGTGCCCATCTGACATGCAACAGAGCATTGCCGTCACTCTAGTTTTACCGTGGCCCGATGTAAGCACGCGAACTTGCTTCGCCCCCCTCTTCTCGACGGTGGTGGTGCCAGGCATGTCGAAGTAAAGAGGCGTCTGATTGGCATTACCGATTTGCCCTAGCAGGTAGCCGTTGTGCCGCAAGTTAAGGACAAACCTCTGAATACTGTGAAGCTTTTCATCGTACTCCTCTGGAAACTTTTCGCATATGCCCATTCGCCTTCGAAAGGGAGAGCCTTTCGTCTTCTTAAAGTTAGTTAGCCAGCAACTGCTCGCTTTAAACTGGCTCCGCATTAGCCCTTTTTCTATGGCTAACTGCATAGCCTGCACTTGGAGCAGTTCTGTCGTCACGGGCCGATGTGCCGCTCGCTGCTCAAGCACATAGTCACCGAGCAGCTCTTCAATTTGCGAAAACCGACCCTGCTGTGGTCAACTGAAGCCTTTGCGTGAAGCTTTGCTGTCGACAATCTTCTGCTTTTGGCTGTCGACAATCTTCTGCTTTTGTTTCCTCCAGTCCCGCACGCACATTTCGGGAACTCAGAACGACCGTGATGCGGCCCAATTTCCGTCCTTTTCTGCACACGTGATGACTTTTCTTTTAAAAGCGGCATCGTGGTGCACTCGTCGAATTTTTGGAGTCGGACCTTCCATGCCATAGATGCTAATGCATTACAAGATGACGAACTCCTCAGCACACGTACGAAGTGCCGCGCATGGGAAACACATATACATAAATGGCAGAAGCGCCATACCGACGCACGTATGGGTGGCCATTTTGAAAATGCTGATGGCAATAGAATAACCGTATTCGCTTTTTTTTTTCGTACTCGATTCTAACGTGCATGCGATTTATGAACTCGCCTACACGGAAAAAAGGTGCGTGTTAGATTCGACTAATTACGGTACTATTATTTTTTTGTCCAGGAGGTACAGGTGCGCGATTTAAGGGGGGACGTGGCAAGTAAAACTAATTTTTTTATTAATGTACTGTTTGTGATGAAATTTGGTGTGTGTATGTGGATGATTGTGAGGATTCCAAATATGAAAACCGTTTTCAAATACCTTTTGTACTTTTTGAGTTACAAGCATAATTATACTAATTAATGCTCTTCACACTTAAAGAGATAATTATTGCTAAATGAAATTATTTTTTCATATTATTATGTTCCCAAAGCATCAACTTGTGCAAAGAAGCTATTAGTTGATTTTTCTAGATCTTGTAACCATAAATAAAATTTCCAAAACATGGATGTTGTTTTGCGCACACATCGCAGTAATTATAAAATGTGTTCTAAAAATTTTAAATGATGAGTAAAAAGAGAGATAAAGCTTTATTGCACTGCTAAAGGCCTCCTGAGCCTAGTGCAAAAAACGGAACGACTCTATCAGTCTTTGTTAGAAAATGACAGATGTTCTAGCGAAGGCACATAGGCGAAAATCAAGAGTTGAGAAAACTGACTTTGAAAGTTCACTCTTGTTTGGAAGTTCACAACATGCCTAAAACACTCAGAATCCTCCTGGGCAGTAATCCTGAGATGCTGTGGCCTTGGCCTCAGTAGAGCGCAACCCAGTTTTGCGCTTCTTTGTCGTGGAACAATGCGCCTTTTGAGCCCTCTTTACCCTTTTGGCATCCTTTTCGGCTGCTCGCCGCAAAGAGCAGTCTCCTGGATTGAAGCCCAGTTGAGCAGTGATCTCTTGCAGCGCACTCTTGCAGCCACCATTGAAACGGCAGACTGCATCTGCAACTGCACTTTCCACACTTCGAAGGGACGCAAACTGGCTCTTGGACTGGAGTGACCAAATGAGGCTGTTCATACTCTCCACAGCGTTCTGGGTTTTTCCCTGCGCACACCTTTCAAGGAGCTCTTTGTTCGAGAGGCGCTTGTAGATTGGCAGCAGTGCCACTTGCACGTGAGGGGGCAGTTTATGTTTGTGAGGCGGCAGCGGCTCTCCCTTGGCCAATGCCTGATTGTGCGGGCACCAGGAGTCAGTCCCACTTGGGCACAGGTCGTGGTGTGGATCCTGGTCTGTGGATGTTACATGGTAATAAGTGGCCATGATGGCCCTCTCCATGCCAGGAACATCATTGGGGTGGCTCTTAATGGCCCAGCCATAATAATTCGTCAACTTCTTTATCAGGCCCTGCGTCAGCCGGCCTTTGCCACCCATGCTCAGTCCTCGGCCTTTGGATTTGTGCTCATCAAGAAGGTTGCGCAAGGAAGTGCCCATTCTTTTTTTCACATGGTTCACACACTCCTGTTTCTTAATCACCATGTAGCCATACACCTTGTCTTGCGTGAGGGCAAGGTACGTACGGCTGTCACCGTCGCAGAGCACATTGATGTATCGAAGCTTGTACTTGGTAAACGATCTTTCAAACATGATCCTAGCTGCTTCTACTTCCATTTGGCCTGCATTAGCATCGGTGTTCTTTTGGCACTGTGGCTTGTGTTTCTCAAGCCACTCCTCATAGTTGTCGTCACCTGGCTTGGGGCCAACAGCACAGCCTTGGCAGTAGTTGGACAGGACACAGTGGTCCAAGACCAAGCCTGTGTACAGCTCGATTACACAGCCCACGCCAATATGACTTCTGTGCCCCCTCGTCATCCACGTGCCGTCGTAAATGACGTCAATGTTGCCTGGCACTCCTCCTAGGTCCTTGTAAATGTCATGCACCTTCTGTGCACTTTCTGCTTCAATGCGGGTGGCAGCTGATGTGGTGGCAGGGTGGCTGTACTTCCTTTGCAGTCTCTGGTAGGACTTGTGGTGCAGTGCTCGATGCGAAATGTCCATCGCAGAAAAAATGTCATTTATGGCAGATTGTTTTCTGCCAACTGACTGCACAGCCCTCAAAGCACGCACGTTTACCTCAAAGGGGTTCGTTTTTTGTTGCCCGGAGCACCTCGGGGACGACCACGCACTGTTCACTATGCCACAATTGTCACAAAAAAGTCCCATCCTCGCCGCGAGTCCAAGGCAGTGCGTAGTCTCGAGGCGTATCGACCCTTCGTCGCACTTGTTGCACTTTACTGACGAAAGCAGACCGTTCAGCATCTTCTTATTTACAATGAAGAATGTGGAGTCCTTACCGCCGTCATTTTCGTCGCAGCCTTCGTTCAGAAGCTCGAGCTTCCGCTTTGAAGCGGACTTCGATGCTACGGCATCCAAAACATCCCGCCTTGTCTGCGCCCGCTGCGCGATTTCTTCACTGCTCGGAATCTGGGCCGAAACTCGCGATAGAATGTTCGACGCGCGCACGCCCGGAGTTGCAACGGCTGCCGACGCGGTGCCACCGCAATCGGGTTCGCGAGAGCGTCCATCACGGTCGACGGCATCCGGCGGTCTGACATACGACGATGTGGCACCTTCCACACTCTCGGCCTCACAACAATCAGCGAAGGGTCTGAGTAGAGGCTCCGTGACGCTTGAAGAGCATGCTCCGTCCGGAACTGCGACTGGGACGGCAGCCGCAGTCGTCTGCCCTTTGTTCCAAGCTTTCCGACGCTTGCCGTACTTGTGGACGCTCCGGAACTTTTTTTGCGACAACATAGCACCGCAGTATGAGCAAGCACTCAGAAGAGACCACCGATGTAAACAAAGCTTGGTAAAAAAAAAAGCGGCGGCCGCAGATGCGCTCGCGCTTCCAAGGTTGCCAAGGTGCGCGGCGCAGCTTTGACCAGTAAGAGGTCGCGCCTGCTACCACGTGACCCGCGCAGCCAATTGCCGTTCTTCGTTTTTGTTTTTTTACTTGCTCCTCGCGCTTTTATTTTCACTCGGCGAAATACGAGACCGCGACCATCGGGAAGCCGGCTTTCTCCTCTTTCCAAAGCTACCAAAATGGCGGCCCACAGCATACCCACAGTCAACAACTTAGCGCGTTTGTGCGGCGTGAACAACACCGTTTCAGGGGCTTTTTTTTCGCACTTTTCGGCGACTAGCCTCGGCAAAAACACTATTTGCGGGATTTGTAGCGCACGTTTCGCTGTAATATTTTAGAACAAGGAAGTTGAAGGTCTGAAGATTACGAAAAAAAAAATAAATCAGAAAATCGCATATTTTGACCAAAATCGGCACTTTACTTGCCGCGCCCCCCTTAAGTCGATGTAGAGATACAGATTTTGTCGCAAAATGTGGTACTATACGCAGTGTTTAGAGAGGGATATTGAGAGTTGAACCTGACAAGAAGTCAATGAACAGAAAGTGTGATACGTGATGTTGAGTGGTATTGAGGGTTTAACTGATGAAAGGTCATTGAACTGGGGCCTTTGAATTTACATTACATAGAAATGTTGCTCTCTGCTGTGTTTGGGCACAAGCAGTACCTCACTGGCTTTTGAAGCAACCTGACCTTCTCCAGGCATTCCTAGTGAAGAAAGCATGGAGGTTTGGAACAACGTGACCTTCTCTGCACTTTCCTTGTGAAGAAAGCATCAGTTGAGGTCTATCAATTAGTGCAAAGATAAATTGCCATTGCTTGTCAAGCACCTAGAAGTGGCACGCAATTCTGTAATGTTATATATTATAAAGTCTTATTTCTCACTTGCATTCTTTTGTTACACTAGATATAATGCTCATTTGCTAAAAGAAAAGGGAGCTTATTTTTGTTTCCTTCTGTCGATCAGAGGGTGCTGGCACCAGCGTTGAAAGCGACGCGAACACCACCTGACAATGCGGACGAGTACCGTGCAGAATACGGCTACCTGGGCCACCTTCTACATGCGCAAGTCGTTAGAGCTCGTATGCAGCCCACCACCACAGCTTCAGTAGCACGAACCACTCTTACAGTTACGCAGGTGTGTATGACCTCACGAGTTATTTGCATTGCATGTCTTTTGTACTAACGCTTTCTGTGAACATAACATCACAAAATGCGCAAGTGGTTTGAGACTAAGACACAATATGACTTGATGTTACAAGTAAAGATCACACCTTGTGACAGGCAATACAGTAGCCTCATATTAAACGAAATCTGAAAAGACAAGTAAAATATGTCCCGTTTAATTGGAGTTCCGTTAACTGAGAGATGACCTGGGGTGGAGAATGCAAGAATGAAGTTAACCTTGTCAAAAGCACTTGTTCCATGTAAGCAGCAGTTTCGTCTAACAGAGTTACAAAGAGTCTACTGTATCTGTTTCGACTAGAATCGTCATAAGTCGAGCATGAAAACTTTTAATTCCTGCGAGATTAATAAAACGCTCGCTCTATGGCTTTTTAACTCCATGAAAATTGCCAACAATATTGTTATATTTCTGTCTCGATTATACCTCATCCTCCACATGAAGTGTTCAAGCACAACGCGTGGTAACCGGAGCATTCGTTTGCATTTCTCTGTATATGCATGCAGCGTAATCATTGGTTTTTGTAATGCTATTAAATGCAAGAACATAAAAATACTGGTAACAATTTTTAGAAAAAGCTTACTGGTATATTGTCATAAAGAAGCACTGACACAAAAATTTTGCATTGTTTTTTTTTTTTTTGCAATAGGTAGCTTATGAGCCACTCATCACAGCTGGAAACCTCATTTTAAGCGAGTAGGAGATGGATTTTATTTAAAGATGTTCTTAGAGCACGCAGTCTCAGTTGCAGTATCAAAGAGCATCGAACTAGGTAGGAGCAGTTCCAGGGACAAGGTACACAGCTGGCCACATGACCATGCAAAACTGTGAAGTTCGCGCTGCACTGACAGCTAGCACAACCAGCACATGGGAAGCCGCAGGCACAGATGAGTATATCAATTGTAGCGCAAGGCCAAGGCGCGTGCCAGCAACCAGCCAACACAGACTCATGATGTGGGTTTGTTTACATTGCCCTTGCATTGATGTCGGCATCGCGAGGGGCTTCACGTTCCACTCAGTCGTGCGGCATGCAACGAAAATTGATTTTGAATATGTTCTAGGCCATATCTGTCCTTGATATCTCACAGATATTGTGTATGTCTCCGCATAAATCTATCTTGTTCATTATTTCTCCTTAGAAATTTTGTGTCTGTGCCCCTTGAAGGCTTGTTGACAAGTGGTAAAAGAATAGTGCGAGAAGTTACGAGGATTTTACGTCATTATGCTTGCAGAATTGTGTAAGGTCATAAGTTTCATCGTAGCTTTCTTTCAAGTGACCTTGCTTGGAATTGATATGTGCCATTTTTTTTCCTTTTTTCAGCCTTCTCGCCTTCTTCAAGCTGCGCCACGTGCATCTTCACTAGTTCCCACTCCTCGGGTTCCCACGGCATCGCTGTCGGGAGCGCCGCAGAAGTACGTCATTGTCACGTCCAACCCTCCGCGTTTGGCCGCACCGGCAAGCCCACTCGCCAATGCCGCTACGGGTGTTGTCAACAACAGCAATAGTAGCACCAGCACCGTTGCCTCGACGCCAACACTGGTGAAGATTGTGACAGCAGCACCAACACCCCAAGGCAACACACTCCAAACCAAGACCGTCACTTCCACAGCCTCGCTGACCAAAGTGGTTGTGGTCACCATGGCTCAGCCATCTAGTGTTGCCGTCAAGGGGATATTCTCAACGGCAACGTCATCTGCTGCACAGTTGCACCACCCAGTGACTACGGTGGCTGCCACAACATCGGACTCTGCAGCCACTGCAACCATTCAGGTGGCAGAAGTCAAGGAAGAACCTGAGGAGATAATGGACCCATCATGAGACATGGAAAAAGTGTGTGCAGTGGATTACAATGCGCTTTGCGAGCTAGTGTCCTCCAGGGACGTGTTGTGGCAGACCGTTTTTTTTTTTTTTGCCTCTCATTCTCGAAACATTGTGTACATAAGAGCTTGAGCATGATGCCACTTCTGTCGACCACGCCCTGTTGGTGATTCAATTTAATTTCTCACTGTCATCTTCCCCTCTCTGCTGCTTCCTTATTTTTGTAACAACGCTGGGATTGACATGTACAATGAGCTCTTCATTTCAAAGACAATGTGAGGATGTGCACACATGTGTGCAGGCCATCTCGGTTACAAAAGGATGAGGTGTAAAAGGGCAGTGTGCATCAGAAGCAGTGTTATGCATGTATATAAAGCTTCATGGAAAGCATGTAGGAAAAGCTTAGTGCTTCTTTCGTATACTTCTTATTTTATTGTACTTCTTTTTGTTGACAAATGTTCTTCTTTTGAATTTGTAGTTTGGTTTGCGAAGCTAGAATTGTACAAAATAGGGGTGCTTTTGGTGGGCTAAGATTGCGTCTTGTAAATCGCAGAGCTAGAGAAAAAAAATGAGATGGCGGTAGGGTTGGCAAGGAAAGCGGCAAGAAGTTGATTTTTCATTGCAATATGAAGTGTTCTGCTTGTGCAAACTGCACATTTCCTAATATCTGAGAGAATGTTCGAATGCCAGGAAGTTACCGTTGAGTTCCCTTTACCTTTTCATCGTACTATGTAGATAAAAGAACGGGCTGTAGTGCTTCAGCCAACTTTTTGTTCGTATCGCTTGTATGTTTGTTGTGAACTGTCTTGTCGGCCAGAGCATCTTTGTTTGTAACTTCTCAGATAGGTTAATTGTGTTCTGATGACTGGAATGGAGAGCTGGAAAATGCCATTTTGAATCATTGCTATGGCTGGTTGTCATTGCCATCTGATAAGTGCAGTCACTGCAGCGGTCGGTGTTCATGTCCACAGGACTCAATTGCCAAAGAGCCAGCAGCACTTGTCATTGACTCGGCTGCTTCGAATGTTTTCATGTTAAAGACGCAGGTGTTCATTTTTCGCCTTATGCCCTTACCTGCATATCATCTTGTGTAAATTTTGTTTGTGGAAATTATTTTTGGGGCCTTTCTTTTTATCACTGCATAAAGTATGGACGCTACTGTTTTCATCAAAACAGCGTGGAACTTATAAATGTTTGTATCTTGCCACTGTAAAAAAAAAAACTGTTGCCATCAGACGTCGAACATCACTTGGCGCACCAATTTATAAATATGTTTGATAATGATGCCTGTGTGCCATGTTATTGAGTTTACGAGTCGTGTTCTGACCTAACTTTCACAATACACGCGGGAACTGCACAAAGCTGAACAAAGCTTCCTGCAGTCTTCCTTTTCATCACAGCTAACGAAATGTGTGCCAAGTAAGTTTCTATTTGTACCTGCATCATCTAAATTACCCAATTGCGGCATGGTGACATTCAACCAGGCAGGAAAGAGTTGTCCTTATGTTCTTTTTTTCCACCATGCTTTGTCAGTGAATACTACTGTATAAAACTACGCTTTCACATGAGAGAAACTGTTCTCTTGCAATTCTGACGTCCTTTGGACTGTTAAACGCATTACTCAGTCTGCCAGAAAACTTGTGTGCGTATAATACTACATTTTACTGCTACTGTTAAACAAGAGAAGGTACAAGAAAAATATGTAACATCAAATGTAGCTTCGGTGCAAAATCCACAATACTGTAAGAAACTGTTACTTGCCAGGACTGTTCGTGAGCCCTGTGATCAGAGGTATGGTCCCTGCATAAGGCTAGTTGTGTATTTCATTTTTATTTAAATTTTTTTATTGATATAAAGCTTAGTTAACTTCATCTGCATTCGCTACGAATCTACATTTCAAATGAAGTTATTTTACTCTTTTCTCAGCTTCCTTGTTTCTTCTATACTTATGGCAACAACCAACGTGAAGATGTTAAACTAAGTAAATAACCGTCACTCACTTGAAATGCACGACATTTACAATTAGTTTTTTCGCTACCATTAACGACAACAGAGTTGTTATTAAATGCTTGCTCAAGGCCCGATAGCAAACGTTCCTAAAGTGAAATAGTTTGAGTGTTACATAGGCGTCGAGGCTTGGCGTTTCAACGTTATATGCTCCATCTCTGTGACTACTGGTGCCATAGTGCACTGTCCACGCGCGCAATAACCCGTTTTGCGGCCGAAAACTGCACGTGTCACGACAGGCTGCTGGGCCCGCTTGCAGCTATGAGGTGCGACGACACTTGGCTTTGCAAGGTGACAGTTGACTTCCAGGACAAGCATATCTGAAATATTTTGATTCCGGGTTCAATAACTGGTTGCTCGCTTCGGGCGACGATGTACAGTACATGGACAGTGCTGACGTAAATATGAATGTCCCTTTGACCATGATTTCGGCAGGCCCAGCATTCATGCACTGGCAGCACAAAGAGAGGGGAAAAAATTATAAAAGAGATATCGCATGCAAACACAGACACGAGAAGGAAGTCGGGACAGTCTTATGTCCGTCTCTGCTCCCTGTCATTATTCTAAAAAAAAATTATAAATGCACGCAGTATGTAACTTGTACAAATTAACACGCCATTCGTTCGGGCCGCGCTTGAAGTATTGTATTATGTGTAATTGAACCAACCCATTCCTCTGCAATCCATAATAAGGAAAAAAAGAAACAAAAACGTTTGCCTGTACTCCACAGAACAGTTCACGGCGACTGCAGTCTCGCAATGAAACTTAGAAGAGTGGCAGCTTGGGCTAGTTGGTATGGCATGACGATAGTCATAGCGCGAGAACAAAACGACGTCACAGAGACAAGAAGGACACAAAACGACGACACAGAGACAAGAAGGATCTTCGTGTCCTTCTTGTCTCTGTGCGTCGTTTTGTTCTCGCGCTATAACTATCGTCCACAGAACACCTACCAGTATCGTCTCGCAATGAAGTTTCGTTTTCTATTGGCTACGGCTTCGGAAGAAATTGGCGGTTAGAGCGCTTATATTATAGCTCCGTTTTTATACTGACTTGTCCGACTGCTCATTTGTTAAAACTTAGAAAGCGCCGGCGCATTTTTTTTTCTTATTTCCTTGTTAAATCAGCAGCTATCACTGGGTGCTTTGGATCACTGGCGGCGTTATTAACCTCCACAGCGCACCAACCAAACGTTTCTTTTCACGGCACTGCGCAGGCTATTGGCGCAGGCAAGCGCGGGCAGCGCAGGCGCACGGGGTGTCTCGATATTGCGGAGAGTTTGGCGGGTGGCAGGTGTTCTGTGGGGTGGCTGCTTGCAGACTATCGGGGCGGTTGTTTAGAGAGCAAGTTTGAAAGGGTGCAACCAAAGATCCCAACAGCAGTAAAGCCATGGTAAGTAAAATAGTGCTCCCGCGCTCGAAGGCTAAATGTAACCGTAGCTCTGTGGCGCCTATTCTTGTCTGGGAACTGCACAGTATAAATAGACTGCCGGGGAGAGCAACCCGTGCTGCCGCTTTGCCGGGGTACTCGCCTAAGGGCAGCTTACTGTGTCAGTAGGTATGCTAGGGCAGGAGACGTGTGTGCTTTTGCTACGTCAGACGTGTTACCACAAGTATGCGGCTAGCCGTTGTTCAGGGAGTCCACTGATTGATTTTGGCTTGCGCGATGGTGCAACAAAAGCCCATTAGATTTAAAGGGAGACGTACAGTGTTGCACTGGGTAGTAGGCTTATTGAAATGTGTAAGCCTAATTTTAACGGCTTTCTTGCTGTCAGCGCTGTCTACGCAGTTACAAACGCTTTGTTGCTGCTCAAGTTGTGGTAGTGCGAAGTCGCATCTGATGGTGGTGTCCAGGGCGAGTGTGTGTGTGCTTGATTGTTTTATTTTAGCACTTATCGTCGTTTCTTGTAATTACGCTGAACATCGTTTCGCGCGAAGTGTATCCCCGGGCATGTCGGCACCCGTCCCACTGCTCAAAATATTGGGGTTTCGGATTGAGCGCCACAGGTGTCATAATGGTGCGGGGAAAAGTTGGGGAGGCGTTGTCCCTAGATGGCCGAAAAACTACGAAAAAAAAAAAAGAGAAGATAAAGTAGCTGAAAACGAAGAAGAAAGTTTCGATTTTTTTTAGCTTTTTGTAGCCGGTGGCGGTTCGGTGGTTTAGCGATACGGTGCCAGTAATTTTCATGTACGCCAAAAGAGTGTGAACGTCCTCGTTTCATCAGCATGGCACGGCAGGCAAGCATGTCCCGGCTTTTCTCTATGTAGGCTACAGCTTGCATTGCGGTTTTATGGCGTGATTTTGTGCACCTGAACTCTCTTGCCGTGCGTGTCAAGTTTCGTTCGATGGCCTCACAAGGGCATTTGCAGTCGTTCTTAGCAATCGGCGATGATCCCTGAAAACTAATGGTTCAGTTATTACGACGCAAATGCTTATTGACAGTTGCCATCCTTTGTTCTGAAAATGCAAGTGCCCAGTCTGCCCATACGTTTGAATGAAGTCGATTGTTTTGATACCAATGCATGCACTAGTAGGCTAACCTCTATGATGGTGCGATGTGCAGATATTGCAATCGAATAATTAAAAAAAGGTATGTCACGTTCTGCTATGACATGCGCCATTATGTAGTGACATCATATATGGATTGTACAGTCTGATCTTTCGCTGAATTGACATAACTGAGGATAATTACGATTAGCCAAACATGGCCCTCTCTTTTTGTTCCTGAAACTTAGTTTGTCAACACGCGTAACAGCGCAAAGCAGTAAGTGTTAGTCACTACCGAAGTGGTTTGGAGTATACTTTCACTTTTATAATTAGGCACGCCAACCTTGCATTCGAGAAGTAGTTGGTGCTTTATTTTTTGGTGGAATGTGATATGATACAGGAAATATCACCTATAAGTAAGCAAAACATCGTAGATTTGTTTACTAATTTATTGGTCTATGTGTACTGAGCTATGGGTGTGGAAAAAGGTTAGTATAATACTCATACAGCAAATGGGATATTGTTGAAAAAACATGCAACGTGTGAAAATGTAAATCTCACAAGGGTCTGGGAGCCGTATAGGACGAAAAAGCTTGTGGGAAAGCCTTCAAAATGTTTTTTTTTTCAATGATTGATTGTGCAATCAAGTAAATTACAGAGCATTGCTATGCACAAGATAGCAAAAGTAGTACACATGCATTATGGGACATACCAGCAGTGCTTTTGGACAGGATAAAGAACATCGGTAGGTGTGATGTATGCAGGACATTGGCTGGTTCTACTTGCAAGATCACAACTGTGGCAAGGCTTGATCATAAATAAAAACAATATAATGGACATCCTTCGTCGTGAAGACTGCATGATGTTCGAGGCCAATCTTGTCTACTCGTGCCCCTTATCCTGTAAATTTAGTGCCATAGTTGGGCACATTCCAGCTAGGTGTGCTTTTGTTGATAACTGAGTGTTCCATGTTGTGAGGTTTCAAAAACTTGATGGATCTCAACAACTGTGCAAAAGCATTAGCATTGCATGAGCTGCGCAAGTGTGGACTGTGCAGGACCCTACACTTGGCATGTCAGGAACCAAACCTGGCCATCTGCAATTGTGTTGGGCGTCTTTCAGTCCTTGGCATGTTGCAGTTTTCTTTTTCGATAGATTACCAATTCACCAACCATTGCGTGCTTCCAAAGCAATGTTTAATTTAATTGTATGTGCTGCTAAAATAAAGTGATTCAACATGAAATTTGGTTATGGCTGTTCAATAGAGTAAGGAATGCTTATCTTTCCCGGTTTTTAAGGGCAGAAAAAAAAAAAAACAAGTAACCTCTGTACTTACTAATATGATGCCAATGAAGGCATGCAAAATGTTTTTTTTTTTGTTTTTTATTGAACCGGCTTGCCACTTGTTCTGATTTTATTTCGTGGGATCTCTAGTCCAACAACAGCACCGAAAGTCGGCATTCACCATTACCAGCTGGCCTCAATGCACCAAGGTACGGCACCATGGTGCCAAAGCGGATATTTGTCGGGGGAATATCTGTAAATGTGAGTATCCATGCTGCCTGAATAACTTAAAAGGAAATTGGTGTTTGTTTGCGTTGTACTTTTATTATCTGCTTTTAACTAGCAAGGGCATACATTGTACTCTAGCCATGTTGGTGGCCATCTCAAATGTAACTGAAAAAAAAAATATATATATATATATAGGGCTCATTTATTTATTTTATCTGCAGATACTGCAATCACCATACGATGATTTTAGCAGGGTTGTACATGAAGTTAGTCATGATCCAATTGGCAAGTACATAGGTATATAATATATGCAGGCTGTAAAATGTATATATGGCAGATACGAACCTCCACGGGCTGGAAGATACAATAAAAAAAGAGGAAAAAGGAAATTACATTTAGGCAATACGTAGTATGATTCAGTTCGTCAGAGCACTTTCTAATTCCAATGAAAACAATGCCAATGAGGGTGCTGAAGCAATTGAACTGGTTTAGTTGATTTAACTTGACTATGGTGAGAGTAAAGAATGAATACTTGAAGCAATTATTGCGTGTAAAAAAGGTTGTTATCGTGATGTCTCTGCCTGGTACTGTAGCCAGAATAAAAAGAAAAAAATTACTTAACAATTGGCTGTTAATTAGTTAGAAAAACTTGAACCTTGATTGTGGTATCTTAATGATAAGGGAAAAGTCCATCTCTGTTTAATAGGGTTGTTACAGAAGTCCTTGACAAATTGTATATAAAATGCACTGCTCTTTTTTGAACTTCTTTGTAATTTGTTAATGTTAGTCGTGGAAGGATCCCAGATAATTGTGGCTTAATGTAGTATTGCTAGAGCAATTGATTCGTACGCAAAAAGGCAGACGGAAGGTTTGGACAGCTTGAGAACACGACATAGAAAAAGCAGTTCGATATAAAATGCACTGCTCTTTTTTGAACTTCTTTGTAATTTGTTAATGTTAGTCGTGGAAGGATCCCAGATAATTGTGGCTTAATGTAGTATTGCTAGAGCAATTGATTCGTACGCAAAAAGGCAGACGGAAGGTTTGGACAGCTTGAGAACACAACATAGAAAAAGCAGTTCGTAAGTTGAATTTGTGGCTATGGGTGTTGTGTTTGTTCCAGCTGAGATGCTTTATTATGTAAAGCCCCAAGTACTTATAATTAGTGACTTCAGACAAAAAAGTGTTGTTAGTATCGTATGTGAAAAATCAAGTTTTTTTTTTGTGGATATTTTGCATAAATACAGTTTTTATTGCATTGAAAACGGCGAATGACAAAAATGCGTAGGAGAGAAAAAAATTTGATCACGCGGCAGCCTTCCAGATTTCTCACATTGCCATCTGAGTGCTGTATGTTCAAAATTTTTTTGAGGCGATTGTCATACTAGAGCTCGGAACGACGACAAAGGGACAAGAAGACGAGAGCTTGTCTTCTTATCCCTTTGTTGTCGTTCTGAGCTCGTGGTATAACAATTGTCATGACCGACCAACTAGCCAAAACCGCTACACTTTTTCCTAGTACTGTTTTTCTTTTCAATGCCAAATTTGGTTTGCTTATTTAGCAGCAGTGTGTAAGATGTTTCAAGCTTGATTATGTTACTGCCATTTTTCTACCATATAAGCCTTCAGGCATTTTGCCAAACAGGGAAGTTACACTAGCAGGCATCATGAATCTCTCCTGTTGCGATTCCTGTATGCAAGTGTAGCTCACTGTGTCATGTTAGCTGGCTATGATGCCGGCAACTGCATCTGATTCAATCGCTGCCCTTCATTTGTTGTCTATTGGCCAATAGCATGCTATCTGCCAAATGATGTCAAACAGCAGGCGTCAACATCTCTGAAGAAAGTGAGCAGTGGTCTTGGTATGAAATGAGGGCGCCGGAGAAAATGGCAACCTTGCGCTTGTAAAATCAAGTGCGCATGACTGCAACATTTGACTGAGATGTTCATAGCAGTGTCTGCTATCCGCTGCAGAATGAGTTTTCTCAGCAAGCCCTTGAGCTGGTTCATGGCCCTTTTCATGGTCATTATGCTCTGGTATCACTGCTTGTTGTCATTCTTATGTAATTGCATGATCTTAATTGGATACCTGCCAGGTCTTTCATTTTCATGAACTTTGCACATTCGGCTTATTTCACATTTATGTGAATGCGTGCGATGTTTTGTTGAAGGGGCTGAGCAACCAATGTTAATGCTACCCATTTTCTTTACCGGAATGGAAAACTTGCCAGTTAGTTTGTAGAGACAAAATGGTAACGTGGAAAACTCTGCAAAACGTCTGTAATCGCAATTTTTCTATATGCGGCGAATGTGAAGCTCTATGCACATGCGACAATGAGTGTGGGAGCGGTCTGTGTTCGAGTGCAGTGGTTTACAGCGCATACATGCACTCTGCGTGCATGCACCATGGCTCGACGTGGCCCACTAGCGGCCACGAACACAGTATTGCTTCTCACCGTGCAGCTGCCTTTACCTCGTAAGCAACACAGAAGTGAGCGAGGCTGGACAATAATATACATACTTTAATTTTAAGGGCTAATTATGGCACACATGACAGCATCTGATTGCATGACTATGTAGAGCAAAGTAATCGACTCCATAATCAAGCTTCAAGTCTCTTACGCTAGCCTGCATAACAAATCTGCTTTTTGTTACTTTTCAACACATTTTGAAAGTGTAAATTTTGGTTGGCTCATAAAAAAAAAACTGCTTAAATTTGTTGATACAATTCACGGTCTTTTTATTTCCGCCAGAATCCAAGCACACGTCCTGGCCAGTTGTCGGTCCCTTTAACTGGAGTTCAAACTTGAGGTTATCGAGTTTCAGTAACTTACATTGGTGACAGTAAGTTAACCGAGATGCGAAACACAGTTGGCTTGTCGTGGAAACATTTTATTTGTGGGTTGGTTGCTGATGCCCCACAATGATGGTGATCGTTCCGTGAATCCGGTTAATTTTCAATTTTTGTACTGACAGCGATTGACAGCGAACAGTACCAAAACGTAGTTCCACTTGTGGGATCTGCAACAGCCAAGTTGTTTAATGATATCAAAATTTTGTGTTGCTTTCTATTTATTTTTATGTTTACTCAATAGAACACAGCCATGGTAGCAATACTATAATTGTGGGAGCATTTATAAACACTTGTATGACTATATGTGCATTGGATGCAGGTTAAAAAACTTCATGTATGCAAAATTAATACGTGGTACAACCATTATGGGTTGCCCGTAATCAAATGATGGCTTTGACATGTACAACTCAGTCTCTCTCTCTCTCTCTTTTTTTAAGCTTCTAATTGCAGATGGTTAAGCTAGACCTTCATCCTGCAGGGGACATACGCTGGGAATAATGTATACTAAAGGCATATGTCATAAAGAATAATGACACCTAAAGGTAAACCAAGTAAAGTGTTCAAAGAGAGAGAAAAAAGTTAATGGCATGCATAAAAATTTTCTTTTTTAGATAATGGCAAACATTATAGAAACAAATGCATGCTATTTTCTCTCTCTCCCTCAAGTGCGTTCAAAACATTTTTCGTGACCTTACCATATGTAGATTAGCAAATATGCAATCGTGTGGTTTTTTTTTTTTTTTTAAGTGGGTAGTCTTCGATAGGCCTATGCTATATTGATTGGGCAACTAAAATAAAAGACTGTCTAACAGAGGACAGAGATTGTTCTGAGTGGAACTGACTTATTGGGCGGATTTGTGCTTTACATGTTACATTTGTATGTTTGTTCTTTCACTTGCAGACGGATGAATCGGAACTGCACGACCTCTTCTCACGCTACGGAACGGTGACAAATGTAAAAATCATACTAGACAGAGCTGGAGTGTCCAAAGGGTAAGCAAATAATTAGCTTGAAGGGGCATGTGTACGCGTGCAACAAACTCCTGGATTGGCTTTGCGACTTTTTCAGGACTGAATTTGCTGCTTGCTTTTAGTTATGATGATGTGTCGTAATGAATGTGTCTCTTGCTGTGTGTCTACCCAATTGTCCTGTTCACTAGACAGTCTTAGACTAGGATTCTTATGGTTTGCATTGTTTGGGTGCTTAGCTCTGTATCAAATGCTGACGTGCATGCTCAAGAGGTAATCATATGACTCGATCGCAGTGGCAACAAATCCTAATGCAAAAAGCTTTTTTGCGCCCTGTTCTAAAACTGCCTATTGTTTTTAAAGAGGCCTGTTATTGTGTACTAGAAGCTCCATGTGTACATTGGCTTAGTGATAACAAGAGGCAGCAGTGTTTAAAAAAAACAAATAACTGATTAGGCTTTCTTCTGGCTCATATTTTGTGGGGCCATAAACCTTAAGTGTAAATGTTACTTCTTCAAACATGAGCTGAATTCTCTTTTCATAGGTACGGATTTGTAACGTTTGAGACAGATGAGGATGCCCAGAGGGCAGCAAGCATCAGTGAGTAACATTTATCTCTTTCCCATACTGCTTCAGTTGTCGAATTTGCATAGGCCAAGAAGGCAGTGAAGGCCAGAGGGTTCCTGGAATGAGGAGTCCACCTGCCTAGGGTAGTAGAAGTGGAAGTTGCATTGCTATATTGTTTCGCACAATAATTGTTTATTCCTCCTCCTCTTGCATGTATTTTCAAATGCATGGAGGCATTTACTCTTGTAATGTAGTGTTCATTTGTCTTTCGTAAATTTATTTTGCTGAAACAGGCATAGAGTTTCCTAATATAGACAGTTTCGCCTGAAGACCACCCCTGGAAACTTCTGGTTTAGCTTGTTTCTGCATAGTTTTAGTCCTCTTTGCTGGCCGCGGCTGCTTGTGTTGCGATGTTTTATGCGAATAAACTTATTCCGATTAAGCGCTCGCAACTCAGGCACAGCTTTGTCTAGACAGGATGCAGTCTGCAAGCCTGAAATAGTTTTATATGCTAGTTAAAACGTTCTGTTTTTCGACTAATGGCAATACAAAGAGCGCCTGCATGCATTGCAACGATCACGTGAGAAAACTGGACTCTCACCAAGAGCGCGTAGGTTTGTGCTGCCCACTTCATTAAGGCTATGTGAAGCTCGGTGCAGACTTATGGCACAGATGCGATGCTGAGTCGTTAGGCTAGTTGAAGGCCCCCAGTTACGGGGAACACATCGGTTGCTGTCGTGTTCCACCCGTGGCAGATGAGTGTACCGACGTCTGACATGGGTAGCAAAACGTGAAAGCTAACACTGAAAATCCATCGCAAAGGTGTTTTATTTATAGTTTGAGCGACATAAATGGTGTGTACTGTCCGAAGAAACATTAGACACAAAGTAGTCGCGCTCAGTGTATGTCATGGTGTTCACGTTTCGTTGATTTTAATTTCAAGTTTTGAAAGTGACGCCGGCGAGTGGGCTCTCATCTGTTCAAGCATATGGCTTATCCTGTCTTTCTGCCGTTAGTGAACATCGCCACATTGCCCCACCGCAGTGGTCCTGTGGCTAAGGTACTCGGCTGCAGACCCGCAGGTCGCGGGATCGAATCCCGGCTGCGGGGGCTGCATTCCCAATTGAGGTGGAAATGTAATAGGCCAGTGTGCTCAGACTTGGGTGCACGTTAAAGAACCCCAGGTGGTCAAAATTTCCGGAGCCCTCCACTACGGCGTCTCTCATGATCATATCGTAGTTTTGGGACGTTAAATTCCACAAATCAATCAATCCATCTCCATCGCCACATTCTAGCTTTTGGTGTGAACATGGACTGTAGGTTTAGGTGGGTTCAACGTGAAAGTTTGATTAATGAATAGTTTAGTCGCGAGGGAACCCTAATAGTTCGCGTGACCCAGCCGCAGTTGACGTCGTCACATAATCAGTACATTTATAATTTCTCAGTTTCAAATCGCGAGCGATTCTAATTGTCGCTGATCTCTATAAAAAGTTTTGGTGTGACACAGGCGCAAAAATAAGCGTTTAATCCCGTGGTTGTGTGCTTAGACGAAAACACATACATGTTTGTTGTTCGACAGAAGTCAGGTTTTCAGTTGTAGTTGAAAAGTTTAATTGAACTACTTCACTGTGGATCGGGCAATTCTCCTCCCGCATGTTCACGATGTGGGTGCGCTTTGAAGACGCAGACAGGGAAAAGACAGGCGTGCGCTGTCAATTCCCGGTCAGCGTCTTCGAAATGCATCCACATCTTCAACGTGCAGAAGCAACTGGCCCAATTAAGTTGGCTGACATACTTCTCTGGCAGTTTATGCATTTTCTGTTTGTATAAGCGCGGCCACTGTCAAAGGTAATACGAGCAGGGGGCCGCGTTCATCGGAACAGTCGCGACGGATATTTTGCGCGGCAGCCTGTCATTCACGTGAGAGGTGTTACCTGCAGCAGTGGCCGCGCCAGTACCTCCAGCGCGCTTCAAGCCCCTTAATGTAGCTGCGAGACGTTGCTTCAAACACATCATAAGGAATTCACCAGAAATAATAGAGCAGCAAATTCAAACACACGACGAAAACACCGCCGGGACCATTGAAAAAAGCATTACCAGAAGTGCTGCAACTGCTGGGGTAGGCCATGCGGCGCGAGGCAGTTTCTTTACAAACACCGAAACCGTCTATACACTAGAAAGAACTCTAGAACTAGTGCCTATGGGAGCTGCAACGCACGGCACTTCAGCGAGCATGAGAATGATGGGTAGTACACACATTTGTCTAATCTTCGTACTTCTGGCCTGTTGCTGGCTCTGTGTGTGTTTGTGTGGCTTGGAGCTGTTTTCTCATGAAACAAAAATCAACAAATGTTTAGCGGTTGTACTTCACCACCTCATTTTTTTAGGCGTACCATTTCAAATCGGGTCATGAAATTGAAAAAGATTCGTTCTTTCTTTCAAAACGAAACCAAAACCAGCAATAATTGAAGCCGCAAGTGCGATTCGCCGCCTGCAGGTCTGAAGATTAGGCAAATCTGTGTACTAGCCATCATTCCCATCGTTGCTGAACGAACGCAGCACCACAGTCCCCTCTAGTTAGTTTTAGGAAACTCTATGGAAACAGGTTGGCTGGTATGCAGTATGCACGGACAAATACACATTTAATTTTGGCTTAAGTGAACCTAAATGCCAGTATATTAGTGTGAAATTTGCAATTATTTATATACCTGCACATATCTGAACTGTTTTTATACTGTGAAAGCGCGTGGAGGTAACTTTTTTTATATATCTGTCTAAAAAACTATAGTTGGTCGTTACCATACTTGGATGTACTTTGACCATCTGCGAAGTTATGAGCCAGTAATACGTTCTTGACACGAACCATGGTGTATAGGCATAATTAGGAGCGCAGGTTTGGCTTTGCCAAAAGCTTATAACTACTCTATCTATGGTAAGGAGAAAATGAAGGTTGTTGCTACATTGCAGCCAACCCATAGTTTGCTTGCATGCATTCTAGTTAGCCTTATCTTGACCATTGTTATGCTGGCACTACAGGTACACCTAAGGAGTTCATCAAATCTCCACAAGGGTTGCCTATGTTTGCTGATTGATAGGTTCTGCACTCATATCTTTTTGTGACACCTTGCTGCTTAGCATTGTTTCAGCTAGGCCTAACCAGCGCTTGTGTGTCGGTATGGGACTGATGTTTCGTGAAATCTCTCACAGCCAAAAGCTTGTGCCTGCCTGATAGTGGCAATTTCGTTTCTGATCACAGTGTTAATGTCGTCATCCACTTTAAGCTCTAGAAAGCAATGCACCTTATAGTTGGCAAAGTTAAGGTTATTATACAATGTTGCATGTAGTAGATGGTGGTGCTGCTGAATACTTCTAACAGCTCGGCTGGTCCAAAAGGTCACTTGGAGAATTGTGATCAGAATTTTCCGTACCGAAAGCCCATAGGCACCTGTCCCACATTACCTTCTGGTCATATGTGTTCTTTAATATAGTGCTATTTTTGCTAAGGTAACCACCATGGACATAGATCGCAGATGGTTTTTGGTAGTTTAAAATTCTCCACAATTCTTTATTCTACTAGGAGATGCTTTGCCAGCAATGCAGCTCTTCTTTGCTGGCTTTTATGTCCACCTTTACTTGTAATGGCTGGCTGTTTTGTCGATCTAAAAAGCCAAAAATTTAAGGTATCTGCCTTCTATTGAATCTAATGCTCTATTCTTCTTTCCCACTCATGTTTACAAGCTTTCTGTGGATGATTTAGAGTTTAGTAAGTATTGAAACATCAATATAGTAATACCTGTATGCTTCCAGAACGAATAAGTTGTACTGATTTTGGATTACAGCTCAAGTTAAAAGGATTACTTCAACACTGCACATTTAGTACTCCAACCATCGTTCCCTGCCACCATAGCTGCCAGATACAAGGTTTGTTAGAAAAGTATCTGACTATTAGTGGAAGAAACAAAACTGGCATAATTGGAGCAGTTGGAAACATAATCCACCTCTAAGTAGTCCCCTTGGGACTACGCACACTTCTCCCAGCGGTGCTGCCATTGTTGGAGCATACTTAAAGGCCTCTTTCGGAATAGTTTAGCTCAGTTGTCGAAGCCATAATGTCCTTCCTTGTCTGAAAGCGCTCTCCTTTCAATGTCCTCTTGAGTTTGGGAAACAGCCAGAAGTCTAAGGGGGCTATATCAGGAGAGTAAGAAGCTTGTTGAACTACTTCGCCAAAAAATTCTGAGCCAAGTGTGAGGAATGTGCGGGAGCATTATTGTGATGGATGCGCCAGTTTTCTGTTGACCACAACTCTGATCTCTTGCGCCGCACAGCATCACGTAGGCGATAGAGGACATCCCTGTAGTACTCTTCGATGATTGTTTGACACTGTAGTGCGTACTCGTGGTGTGTCCACACTGCGGGAGTCAAAGAAGCATCACTTGGACGTTGCTGCGCACTTGGCTGTCCTTCTTTGGTCTTGGTGATATGGTCTGCTTCCACTGTGACAGCTCGGTATTTAGTTTCTGGATCGTACCTGTACACCCAAGGCTTTTCGCCAATGATAATGGTGTTCATGAAGTTAGGGTCATAATTTGTGAAATTCAGCAAGTCTTGTGAGACTTCAGCATGAAGTTGCTTTCGCTCCACTGTGAGCAATTCCGGCATGAATTTCACCTGCAACTCTCTTCATGGCCAAATCTTCGGTGATAATGGAATCTGCAGAGAAAGTGCTGATGCCCATCTCTTCCGCAATTTCTCGGATAGTCGCACAAGGGTTCTGTATACCACAGCATTCACTTTGGCAATGACTTGTTAATTTTGGAATGTTGATGGCCGACCGGAGTGGGGCTCGCTCTCCATTGATGTGCAGCCGTCTTTAAATTAATTGTACCACTCCTTAATCTGTCTGTGGCTCATAGCGTCATCACCCAAAGCAGTCTTGATCTTCCGAATGGTTTCCACTTGGCTGTCGCCCAGTTTCTGGCAAAATTTGATGCAGTAGTGCTGCCCCAGTCGCTTTGTCATTTTTTTTTTGCAATGAAAAGTCGATGAGAGCACTGCACACTACCTCACTCAAACGCTGCGTCCCAGCGGCTGACGCTATTGGCAGGCGGAAAAAAAATTCACGCATGCGCACAAAGGTTTAAGTTCAGCTGATGCAAGCGCGCTTGTTTCAAATCCACCGGGTGCTTGGAAAAAAAAAAAATTAAGGTTGAATACTTTTCTAACAAACCTTGTATGACAACAGCATTTATTCGATAGTGTAGTTTTGCTGTATAGATCAGGCCACTTGTGTGATCCAGATCGAGTGTTAGTGTTGGCGCATTTTATGCATCGTCCTGCTTCACAGATCTTTTTGACAGCAGAGAAATTTTATGAGCATGAAAAAGTACCTTACTCTTGTGGCATTTGCATATTTATTAAATGATTATTCACTCTTTGAGAAAGTTGCAGCAAGCAACAAAGTTAGCCTATCGATTTTTCTTCTCTAGGTGATATTTGTGTGCTGTCGCAATACACTGATTATTCTGTACGAACATGCCCTCTCTCGGTTATCTTTAGCTATACTGATATTCACATATACTTTTGCCATTCCATTGTACTGAGCCAGAAAAAAAAACTCAAGGCATTCTTACTCAAATTGTAATTCCTGTGACACCTTTGCTATACACTTTCAATATGGTTAAAACTCTGCCAGCTCCCAGTTGATGTGTATTTGTACTTGTAAGTTTCTGTTGCTTCACTTTTATTTTGTATGCTTGCATGCTTTTTTTTTCCTGTCTCATGCAATTTAGGGCAACAACATTATGCTCAGGGACCGCAGACTCAACATCGCTCCAGCAATCAGAAAGCAGGTATGGTGGTACACACTACCATTGTCCTGTATAAATAATTAAAGTAGCTGTTACAATACTCTTTTTTTTTCTCTCTTTCTAGCCACTTTCAAGGGTGTACGGTAAGTCTACTTTAAACCGCAGCTTTGCTCATCATAATGAGAGCTGAATTGTCTGCTACAGTGAGTCATGTTTCTGGGAACCTATCTAATGTATGCATTAGAAAATAATGCAAGTTTAGGAGTAGTACTATGTAACTGGCAATGCTGTGAATTAGTAGCTTTTTAGGCATTTGAAGCTCTGCGGTCTGTTGTCGGGTGCCACACGCTGCTTAGATGTATATTTTTTGAAAGACTTAGCTACAGTATGACGCGTAAAATAGCCAATGAGCTTCTCTTAAGCAATTGTTGTTTTTCTTTCATGGGGCTCAGAACTGGTAAAATAATTTTGGACTAGGGCAGGCTCAAAGTGATTACCAGTTTTGGACTGTAATGGGTTAAATCTGTATGCATCAAAGCCTGTGAAATCGTTAACTTACGTCACTATATTTAAATCTGGTTAAATTTAAACTTAACATTTTATGTCTAGTCTAGTCGCCAAAGGATTTTTTTTTTACATCGTAATCATTTCAAAGATTGCTGAATAATATGGCAATGCAAAAAGCTCATTTCAGTTATACAAGAAAATTCATTTTGTCGAACTTGATATCTGGCAAACACAACTTGATACTGCACCATTGAAGTCTTTTTCACAGTGGCCATACATCGCTTGCCAATTTAAATGTAGGTTCGGTGGTCATTTGAAAAATGCACTCACAAAATTTGCATGCAGTGCAACCATACAACCACAGGGGCCAGCAGAAGTTTCACTTTATTGCTCCACCTTTTCGCTGTTGCATCAGCTGACCTTTGTTCTATTGGAATCGCAGATATTTGTACATTAATATATTGAGAATAAAGATGCATGTTCAGCAGGTACAGTGGAACCCCGATTATACGACTTTCAGGGGACCACGCAAAACTGTCGTATAATCTGGGCATCGTATAATCGAAAAACTTAAGATTATAGACAGTGACACTCGGCTTTGCCCGAAAAATGAGTATAGGCTGCCTGAATAAGATCGCGACACGGCCTTGTGTCTCTGCAAGGGATGTAGATTAAATTATTCATGTCATATGGCAGCTAGTGCTAGCGTTACTTGGTAGAAGGAGCTTCGAGCGAGTCTTTATTCGTAACCTTAAAAGCAATCTAATCCAATGCGCATCTTTCTACCGATAAATAGTCCGAAAATTGCCTGCGCATGGAAACGAAACTGAAACCGCGTTGCCAACAGCCTGCCATCAGAAAAAGTCGGGCACAGTGTCATCGCACAGTGGCGACGGATCACGAGCTTGCGTAGAACGCGTTTGTGCGGTGTTTGTGCACGACTGAGCTGCACGCGTTCTAATTTATTTCCTTGTTAAGTGCAACTAGTGGTGTCCTACTGTTATTATGGATGTTGCCGTCAGGCGAAAGTAATTTTGCTCGGTGAAAACAGCTGCGTTATGTCTTTATGCGTGCGCAAGCCATTGACTGAGTGTGACAAAGGCAGGGAAATCAGCTGTATGTCGACCAGGAAAGATTTCTACCGACCGAAAACGTGAAAATATCAGCTTTCCGGCCGGCTGAAGCTACTGTGTGTGGATGCAGCTTGACAAGATAACGACCCTGGATACGTATGCACGTAATCGAGACGCTTGTAGAAGCACATGAACTTTTCTGGAGAATTTTTCCATTCTATGAAGACATCCTGTCTCGCTCTACTTTTCCAGTCGTCAACACAGGGGTACGCAAGTTCATATTTTGCACTCGTGAATATTTGGTTGACGTTTGATTCGAGTAATGGCGAGTTTTCTTTTTGACGGAATCAGAAAGTCGTCATAAGATGCGGGGTCGGCGTAAAACTGTGTCATATAACCAATTTTTTTTTATGAAATAATTAAAGACGATAGTCTTTCTTGGAAACTTTCGAACGGAAAAATGTTGGTCTGTCTGTCTGTACATCTGTCTGTTTGTCCGCCCTAACGATATCTCAAACGGCCAACCCCATCCGCAGCGCCCAACAATATTGCTCAAGGTGTAGCATTCATAGTTGTGCAATTATCAATTAAAAAAGCAAATATTGCGCATATCTGAGGCGCCATAACATGTCTGTTTTGTATGTCTGCCTTTATACTAGAAGAGGCACACACAAGTAACTCTAAGGACTGTAGCGTTTAACGCGCTGCGCTGACAGTACAACGCGATGCTCAAGAAGGTGTTTCCACCACTTTTATTCTAGTCCATGTGCCGTGCTCTAATATTAAGTTATGAAGCATGGAAACTCAGGCAGGTTGGTAGGACATGACTGAATATACGAACAGCACAACCTAGTAGCAGTTACAGCGTAACTACAGAAGCAGGAAACATGGACAGGAAAGAGCACAGTAGACATTCAACAATGGTTTAATAGCAGAATGGTGTACATATGTAGGTGAAAAAATGGCCATGCGTAGAATGGTGCAGTTAACAACCACTGCGTTATAATGCCGGCACAACTCTTGTCACTCGTTGATTGAGCTAGAAACCAGTACACAGCTTAAAAACTGATTGAGATACACAATCTCTTTTTGCAGTAGCACACCTAGGGGGGACTTACTCATGTACCATTAAACTTATGTGATAGGCTTCAATTATCTCGCACACGGCTTGCGAGTGGTGCTTGCCTATTACTTCGCAGCACCACAGTCAGCGCTCTTTCCTGACCTTGTTTTTTGCTTCCGTAGTTATGCTGTAACTGGGTTGCGCTGTTTGTATATTCAGTCACTAATATTAAGCTGGCGTGTTCTCTGGAGTCCCAACTACCAATCGGCAGTGTCTTCAGTCCGTGCTCAAAAAGTGTTGCAGCGCCCCTTTAAATGATTCATTATACAAAGGATTTTGTTATGTCTCAGTTCATCACATAGAGGTGTAACTGTATTTCTAATTGCTTTTTTTTGTGTGTACTTCAAGGAAAGGGAAATCTCAGGTTTGATGAGAGAAAGTTGTTTTTCTTATTTCAGATTTCGTCTTATGTTTTGCATACTGTCTTCATTCTTTCAGGGTACTCAGCCTGTGATCAGATCTTTATTTCAGTTTTAAGTACAGAGCCTGCTTAAACAGTGCTGTAACATTGTTTCACTGTTTTTCTTTCTTCTCTTGTGACTGCAGACCCAACCCAGTCAGTCCAGCCAGGGACGATTCTGTACCAAAATGGCGTGCCTTATATGTACCACAATGGCACTGCCTTCTTCCACCCTGATGCGCTTACATATCAGTACTCGACCCCCTGCAGCTACTCAGGTTTGTGTGCACACCTCACTGCAGTGACTTAGTGCCTCTGGCATTGCATCGCTAGGCACGGGCTTGAGTGTGTGTTCAATTCCTGTGTGCATTTTGTTTTGGAATGAAATGGCAAAAAGCCATCAATGGCTAGCCTTTCTAAGGACACTCGTGGAATCATGCTGATGTCATTCAAAATGAATGGACCATTACCACGCCACTGTAAAGCATGTATAAACCTGAGGCAACACAGGTGAAGTAAAACGTAGCTCTGCCGATGTTGTAAGAGTTTCTTGAATAGTTTACTAATGCTACTTTTTGCAGCCTACTCTAACTGTTAAAAGATTATCAAAATGTTTCGTGCTTTGCCTAGAGCAAAAAGACAAGATGCAACCATGTACTACACCCAAATCTTGATTATAACGAAATGTTGGTTACAACAAAGTAACTGAAAAATAGTCTTGGAATAAATGTAGTGTTAGGAATATGCCTTTATAATGAATTTTCGGATATAATGCACTTATGTTTGTCTGAGATGCAACTTTGTTATAACGAGGTTTTAGTGTGCTTCCTATGAAATATATTTTGTCTGTTGGCCCCCTTTCTTTCTTATAATAATCTAGCTTAAGCAAGTGTCATTCTCACGCTGGTATTGCAGACTTCGACGGCAGCTGTTGCTACAGCCAACACAGCTATATCGGGATACCCTGTTGTGTATCAGCCATCAGTCTACTTCCAACAGCAGGCCTTCCAGTACCCGAATGCGGTAGGTGCCGTGTTAGAACGGAGCTTTTGTTTCAACAAAATTAGCTGACATATGTTACATACCGTAAGCTTGGTAACTTTGTAGGTCTAAGTTTATTAATGTTTTTTCCTGTATATGTTTGCTGTTTGTTTAATTAGAAACAATACAGTAGAACTCCGCTACAACGCACGCCGCTTCAACGAAATTTCCGCTACAGCAAAAAATTCACGATTTTCCGTCAGCAGTTCATAGGAGTCAATGCATAAATATTGTCGCCACAATGAACACTTTTTCTTCGATCGCCTCGCTTCAACTAAATTTTACAATGCAATTCCAAGCTCAAGATACTTATTGCTATGCAGTAAACCTAATCTTTAACATATCGATGCATTTTCAGAGGCTGAAAATGCATCAACGAAGTCTAAAACACGCATTGGTACCACCAGAAACTGCTGCTATACCGCCACTATTCAGCAAGCATGGGCGCCGCCATTGCTCGATAGCAATGGCAATGAAACTGCCTGTTTTGCCACTGGCTTGCTTTTGAGCCGCAGACGATCCGAAGCTGAAGCTCTGTCGCTCAGTTCATGTAGGGTGGCTAGAATGGGGAGGTGTGACGAGCACTGCACTTTTTGCTTGCCGGAGAAGGCCCTTTGGCGCGCCGATGCCGCTAGGGGCAGTGATGGCAGTGGCGTGGGTAGTGAGCGGCGCACTTCGCAGAGCTTTCCTCGGGTGCATTTTTTTTTTTTTTTTTTCAGTGGCGGTAGCTGTTTTACAAGTACTTTGTCAATCGATTTCGTCAATCGGTTTCGTCAATCGGTGATTGCGCTGGGTTACTCTGAAATGCCTGAAGGTGTCAACGACAAAAAAAAAAAAGTAGATTCAGCATCGCTGCATTGTTTCAGTTCAGCCTCTTGAAGAGTCCCAAGGGTGGCAACGTGTATCACTTAGTGGAGGAGTCGCTCTGTCTGTAGAAAAAACGCTGCATGAGATGGAATAAAATGAGGAAGACTACGAAATACTTCCATATGATGCCCTAGCAGCGTCTGTCGCCCATGAATCATACAGTCAAACCTCAATATATCGAACACGGATATATCGAATTATTGCCTATACCAAACGGTTCCTATATCACGCGGGAAATCGCATGCATTATTGATTTTTTATTTTGAACAAAGTTTGACATGTAATGGATATATCGAACTCAGCCACCCCAAACCGCCCGCGCTCCATTGACAGGCGGCGAGCTTTCCCGCAACTCTCGAAAGTAGCAGTAGAGCGGCGGGCGTTTACGAATGCTGCACACATCGATGGCGCCGAAAGCGCCACTTTAACAGATGGATGGATGGATGGATATGGCTGTACCCTTTAGATCGGGTGGTGGCTAGCGCCACCAAGCCGTAATACTTAATGAACCAAAAACTAGATTTTTTTTTCTTTAAAAAGTGAGTTTGAGGATTCGCACATTGCAGTGAAGGGTGCCTTGATTCATGCCTTGACTTTAGCCACCAATCAGATAACCTCTTTCTAGTTAAGTCTACCCGCTTAAAGTCTATTTTGCCCTCCCTGTCCCTAAACCCCAGCGCTTTGAAAAACTCTGCGCCATCATCCTGAACTATAGGGTGAAGCCCTTTAGAGAGCATTATCAAGTGTTCGGCAGTTTCTTCTTCCTCTCCACACGCACTGCATACTGTGTCTACCCCTTCGTATTTGGCCCAATATGTCCTTGTTCGCAATACTCCTGTTCTGGCCTCAAACAGTAGAGAACTACCCCGAGTAGTATCATAGATCCTTTCCTTGGCTATTTCCTGATTAAAAGTTCGATAGATCTCTAGTGCAGACGTCTTAATCATGACGATTCCTCATTAGTCAGTCTCCGTTTCCTTCACTTTCTTCTTAACCGATAGTTCTTTTTGGTTTGGCCACCTGCTGTTTTCTAAGTATTCACCAGTCAATTTCCTGGTTCGCTTCCTCCATTTTGTATCGACATTCTTCATGTACAAGTAGCTGAAAACCTTCCTAGCCCAACGCTTCTCCCCCATTTCTCTCAATCGCTTCTCAAATTTTATCTTGCTGCTAGCTTCCCTGCCCTCAAATTATGTCCATCCCATATCACCTTGTACTCCCTGATTTGGTCTATTCCCGTGAGCTCCTAAAACAAGCCTACCTATTCCACGTTGCTTAATTTCTAATCTTGCTTGAACTTCTGATCTCATGCACAAGACCGCATTGCCGAACGTCAGCCCAGGAACCATGACCCCTTTCCATATTCCTCTCACAACATCATACCTATTGTAATTCCACAGTGCCCTATTTTTCATCACTGCTGCATTCCTCTTACCTTTAGTCGTCACATATATTTCGTGTTCCCTCAGGTACTCGGTCCCATTGCTTATCCATACGCCCAGATATTTGTATTTATCTGTTATCTCTAGCGTGACCTCCTGTATTCTAAGCTCACTACCTTCGTTATCATTGAAAATCATGACTGCTGATTTTTCCTTACTGAATCTGAAATCTAACCTATCTCCCTCATTACCCCAGATGTCCATCAATCTCTGCAAATCTTCCTTGTTGTTGGCCATTAGCACTATATCATCTGCGTACATTAATGCTGATAGTGCCTGATCAATGAGTTTTCCTTGTTTGACTAAAGAGAGGTTGAAGCCCAGTCCACTTCCCTCTAATTTGGCCTCTTATCCTTGTAGGTACATCATGAATAACAAGGGTGACAAGGGACACCCCTGCCTAAGCCCCCGTTTTACCTCTGCAGGCCTGGATACCTGTTTTTCCCACTTTATAACTACCTTGTTACCTTTATAGATACCCTTTAAAATATTAGTGACTACATGTTCCACGCCTAGTGTGTCCAGTATTCCCCACAATTCCTCTTGAACCACGCTATCGTACGCTCCCTTGATATCCAAAAATGCTAGCCACAGGGGCCTGTGTTCCTTTTCTGCTATTTCGATGCACTGCGTCAGTGAGAACAGATGGTCTTCTAACCTCCTGTGTTTCCGAAACCCGTTCTGCAGTTCCCCCAGCACCCCCTCATCCTCTATTCATGCCTGCAGTCTTTCCTTTATAATCTGCATCGCCAGCCTGTAGACCACTGATGTCACTGTTATGGGACGGTAGTTCTTTATGTCTTGTTATGTTATGTCTTGTCATGTTATGTTTATGTCTTAACGTAGCGGCGTACATGCGCCGCAGCCTTGCGGTAGAGGTTCTTGAATGAGGAAAGTGAAGAGAAAAGCGCGGAGCTGTTATTGTCTTTCAATACGAAGGCACAGACACGGCTTCGCGCGGGGAAGGGGGAGTGGGAGGTAAAGATTGAGCAGGAAAGTATAGGAGGGAAAGGATGTAGACGACTGTCTCGGATGCGGCCCGGGTTGCCGCCGGGAAAAGGAAAGCAGTCAGGCGAGCCGGCATGGACGCGCCATGTGTGCGCTTTACACCCGGACTCACGCCGCAGCCTTGCAGCTTGCAGTCGTTGCAGTCTCTATGGTGTCAACGGCACACTGTGCACTTGTTGCAAGCTCCTCCCCCGTAGCATCGGCAGGCATCGGTCGTTGTGCTCGCAGTTTTCGTGCGTTCGGAGTTAGGCCTGTCGCGCGCTATGGTGCACGACAGGCCTAAATCCGAACGGCGGAGCTCACGGATGTGGAGATTGTCGCCGAAGCTACTGCTGAGCAGCCAAATGAAGACTCTGCCGAGGTGGATCCCGCAAGCGCTGATGGTGCCCCGCTCCCGACATCAGCCGAGGTCGTAGCTGCCTTGGCTCTTGTGTGCCGCCACTGCGGCGCGATTGAAGGCACTGGCCTATCACTTATGGATCGCCTGGACTATATTGAGGACGCAGTCGTCACACGCCATGGCCAACAAAAAGCAGGCTACTCTTTTTCAATATTTTAAACCAACACAATAAATACTATGTTTGAATCTTTAAGTGAGTATTTACTGCACTACGCTTGAACGGTTCGTTGGTTTGTTTTCAGCAAGCTGTTGACGCTTTTTTTCGTGATTTTTTTATATTGAATTCTGAATATATCGAACTATTTCGCGATCGCTGCGTCGTTCGGTATATCGAGGTTCAACTGTACACCGCTGAGCGGCGGATGATCACCCTGTATATTATGCGGCAAGCTACGCTGTGAGAAATGGCAAGCTATGAGAAATGGCAAGCTACGCTGTGAGAAATGGTACTTCGTAATAATCGTGATGAGTGCAGGAACACCCGCCTTGTTTCGCAGTGTTGCTGGTTACGCGTTATAAGCAAGACCGTTGCTGGTATAGCACGTTACTTCGGCAATTAGTATTTGACGCACTCGGTATACATGTAAAAATGGAGCTGCTGCTTAAATTGTGCGAGTTGTAGTTGTCAGCAAGTCGTTTTTGCAACACGGTAGCGCTATTTATCACTTATGTTTCCAAAATAAAATTTGCTTCTGCTGATAGTACAGGTCGCGGAGCATTAAGTTTGCAGTGCCTGGAAAAGCAAGGCTCACGTTTCCATAAACAGTTGAAATTCTAGCGGGCCCTGTGTGGGTTAAAGGGGCAAAAATTGTTTACACTGCAAATACCTGCGATTATGGTCCGCAAGCAGATGCAAGCTGCCAGAATTACTGTAATTATTTTTAAAGTCAGTGATCATATCTTTGCTGAGAGGGTTGACGGTGAAATATTTGGCTTTCTATGACAATGAGAAATAGATTTAACATGCGCCACGTTGTTATAAGCCATCACATGCAACTCACCGGTGCACATTAGGCCACTGTGTTCTGCGTCCGGCATCTTGTGCAAAATTAGCTAGTTTAGTTCACCTAAGTTCGCTATAGTTGTTTTAGTCAGCGACTTCATTTCTTTTCTTTCAATAGGTCGAGGAGCACGGGACTAAAAGCTCGAGGGATTGGCAAAGTACTGATCCAGTCACAAGTTGGCAAAGCAGCAATACACGACATTCATACATGTGGAACAAAAAATAAACTTTACAAGTACAAAATGACACCAAGTACGAATACAAAAGTTATGAAGCGAAGCTCCACAAATAGAGAGCGAATGAATACATATGTATGATGACTTGGCATGAACATGAAAAGCAAAAATCAATAAGCAGAGCTACCAAAATTCCGGGAGATCTACTATTCGGGAAAGTGAATTAGCTAGGCGAAGTATATAATGTGACGATTTTGATTATATAAAATTACATATATCTACAGCGCTATAGTTGGGAAATAATCATAAGAAATTAATTACACATAATATAATGAAGTGTCAGAAATCATCAGGATCAAAACTATAGACTGATACACAGAGACATCACAGTAAATACTATACAGTAATAAGAATTATTATAAAAAATGCGCAAGACAGGCCAGTCGTAGCGATGTTTCTTGCAATATTTAAATAGATTCATATGAAGTTCTCAATGGCAGAAAAAAGGACAAAGTGTCGATGTCTTCGTGGTTTAGGGTGGTTAATAGGTTAAGGTAGCCTGTAGGACATTGTTCATCCTAAACGCTTCTAGGAATAGGTGAATCCCACATTTAATTCTTCGTGCCTAGTGAGACAAACACTTAGGTTTACGTTTATCTTAGCAAGATAAGTTATGGTACTACAACCATGTTTAACGAATGCTTTATGACATGTCAATTATAAATACGAGGTTTATTAAAATGATATTCTGGCTCCCGCAGCACGGGCGCATTGATTCAAACTTCTGATATTAGAGTATAATCCACAAAGAACCCCAGGTGGTCGAAATTTCCGACAGCCCACCACTACTGCGTCTCTCATATCATATGGTGGTTTTGGGACGTTAAACTAAACATATCAAGGCCTTTTCAAAAATGGTTTTCAGAGATGAGACTTTAAAGAACTTAGGTGCCATGTACTGTCTTACACTTGCTCGATCAAAATTTACCGAAAACGAGTCACCACCACACAGCGTGAAAGCAATTTTTGTGAAGAGCGGCGCGTGCTGTCTCATTTGTCTCCTCCGCAAGCTTACCCGCGCCGGTGCATGCAGCGTTCCAAGTGGCATCTGCGCGCTTTGGGGACCGGTTTCGGCGGCCGCTTTTCACACCTCCCCATTCTAGCCATCCTAGTTCATGGTTTCCTTCTCACAGCTGCTCGGTGCAACTGCGGCAGTTGCCTTTTCCAATTCCTATGCTTATCATTGTGTTCGCGCTTGGCCAGTGTGGTAACTAATCAGAGCCGCTGTTCGTCCGCATTATCAACAAAATCAGCTAGCTGCGAGTGATGAATGATAAGAATGGTTGAGAATAATGCAAAAGTCGCTGCTCCACGATACCCTGCCTCCATCTCGGCATTCTCGGATACTTTTGACGGCGGGCAGCTGCTGGTGTTAACGTGTTAATTCAACTGTTTGGTTCGTTCACGAAAGCAGCTTTAGGCGTTGTTTCAGTGTGCTTTTCACTATGGCCTCGCATGCATGGGTGAGAATCACGTCGTGGCGCTGCTGGGAAAGAATGGGAAGCAGTGAACATTTTTTGAATATTGAGAATAAACATTCCTTTGTTTGGTGGCTCAGATCAGCTATATTTTTTTCGATTTCACTACAGCAAAATTCTCACTTCAACGAAATTTTAATAACGCCCCATCAGTTTCGTTGTAGTGGGGTTCGACTGTAGTTTCAATTTCTTCATTTAGAGGGCAGGTTAACTTGTTTAACCATTGTCGCTGCTGACCATTGTGCTGTGTTTGATTTCAGTGGAATGCCCCTAATGGTGGACAGTGGAGATGGGCCCCACCTGTGAGTGATCGAAGATTTGTTAATTCTTTTTTAAAAGCTCTGCTGTTGCAGATCGTGTAGTTTTTATTTATTCGAGCTCTGGCGCGCTTTTTTATATATTACGTGAGCTCATTGGATGTCAATCTGGTCTTACAAACGGTAACTGCTTGTCACCAAAATTGCAAACTCGAAATGTTCCAGTAGTGCAATTCTTTAGCGTACTTAGGTACTTTGGACTGTTTACTAGCGGCAAATCGGCTGGCAGCACCTTGCGACATTGCCACAGGCATGACGCTGAAAGACAACTTTTGTGACATTAAGCAAGTGTTGCCTAACTTTATAGACAGTTTTTACGGCATGTATGCTACCACCACTTACACCTGACAGCAGCTATTGTTCGTCATCCCACTTGCACTGTTGGGCGACTCTTGCCATGCTCTTGGCTGCTTCTGCCAGCGTGGTTTCATAGCGAGAAATGTCTCTCTCTCCGTCTTCTCTCCGTCTTCTCTGTCTTTTTTTGTGTCATTTTAAACTGCTCAACTGAATGTGCCGATGCCAAAATGAGCTGTACCTGGAATTGCATAGATCGGTTCAATTATATGGACTTTCGTGCGATTGCAGCGGTAACTACGTGGATAAGGATTGGAAATTAAAGGTGAAATAGTGACCATTGAAAAGCACGCGGTAGTTATCGACGGTCATATTTTTTTTGCGAGCTTGCCCTTCAAGAGAGGGTTTGTGGCCCAGTCATCTGAGTTGTTGGCGGCTTGTAGGGCAGCGGTGGTGGGACGCCTCCTTCGCACAGCGTGGTGCCTCTATCTTCGTCTCCCCTGGAGTTGGATGATGTGATGCACTCGGGACCACGGCAGCCCTGCCTGCTGAGAGATCGACCTTTCTGAGCCAGGGTGGAAGGCGCTCTTCTTCCCCCTTTCCATCTCATTCTTCCTTTCCTCTTCCCAATGCTGCTATTTTTCCTGGTGCCGCTTTCTTCATTTCTCGTCCTGCCGTCCGTGGTGCTACATTCTTGCCCACTCTCATTTGATCCACGGGACCACCAGACAAACGTTGCAGGTCTGGACTGTCTTTTCTCTTCCTTTACTTGATTCTGCTTTTCTGACAAACTTCCTTTTCATCTAAGAGGCAGCCATCAGCTGACCTTTGGCAAACATGAGGCTTTAGTTCTTTTTTTGAAGTTGATGCTGGACTGCCAGTGGTTCTTCTTTTCTCGAGATTGACTAAGGCATGAAAACCAAAAAACTCAGGCTTACTTCACTTCTTTTCAAGTGTTTAAGCAGTGTGCTCGTGCAGGAGGACCTTTGTCGTGCTTAGTTGCAAAATACTAAAACTTGAGCGTAGATGCCCAAAATTGAAGATGTTGGTGAGCTGTACTGACTGAGCCTGATGCTTGGTTAGCACTAGGGAGTGGGAACTATTGTTAAGTATAGTGACTGAGCCTAATGCTTGGTTAGTACTTGGGAGTGAAAACTATTATTAAGCAGCAGAAATTTTAGAATTGCACTTTTCTTAAAGGAGTTGTACTATTCTATGTCAGAACTGCAAAACGAAATTTGCTTGCCAATTTAAAATGTTAGTTTAGTAAAACTACTTAGTTTTGGATGGATCAGAAAATTGTGGTTTATTAAGTACATTGCATATGGATTGAGCTAAAGCATCTCTGGTCTTTTATGTATTGAGAAAAATGGACAAAAAGGAACATAGAGGAACACCACTGATATGCATCATTCTTATATTGCGAGGGTGAGCTCTCACAAAGTAAAAGCAAAAAAAAAGAAATACAATAAATAAAACTAATGTGCTCTGAATGAATATCATGGCAAGGCAGCTAATAGTGCCTAAAGCAATTGCAGGAACATGGCTGTAGTGCTTGTGGGTCTCTGCTTTACAGGCTACAAGCCACCCTGCCACTGCACACCCAGCCTACCTCTATCCCACCACTTTGGTGAGCCTCGGGAGTGGTGTTAACCCGGCATCCAACGAAAGCCAGGAGTACCACGACCCAGCCATTGTGGAGACTGGCTCTGAGGTAGGTGCCGCCATGATGCCGAGCACACCAACGCGCAAGCAAGATGACAGTGGCGGCACCCCATCCTCTCTCCTGGCCTCCGCCCCAACAGCAGCGTCGTTGGGCAGCTTCTGTGAGTTGCTTTGAAAAGGGATCTCTCTGTGGCTCCTCGTCTGTCTCGTCGTGGTGGAACCCGGGTGTTGTCTGCAGTCGTCCAAATCCCCTTGGGTCTGGCTGTCCGTCTGGTTTCCCTGTCCCTCCCTACCTCTGTTGCACCCACTACCTTCTCTAATAAGCTTTCGATTACGTTGAAACAAAAGTTCTTTTTTTTAGCTTGTTAAAGCCCTTTGTCTGGTTAAACACATTGGGAAAATTATTCTTGTTCAGCGTGGCTTGTTCAGCGTGCTTTTATGCGTCATTTGTATGGCTTGTAGGCACATTTCTCGTGCGGTGACAGTGGTGCAGTCAGTGTGTGTGCCTGCCTTTGTTGTTCTTTTTGTCTATTCCCATTTGTTAAAGTATTGTGCCCCTGCACTGAACTAACTATTGTGAAGTGTGGCATGCATGACCAAGTTTTGTATTTGCATTCTGCCAGGGTACTGGTATATGGACCTTCTCTGTCTTACTATCTCATCTTCTTAATTTTTCGAGTTTTCATAAAGATTGTTATTTCGGCCTTAGTTTCCATGATTGCTGAAAATTTACAAACATGAAGTCTCCTAGACTGATCTTCCACCCTTCTATGATGTCTCCGTTTTTCTAGTGCATATCATTTCCCACTTGCAAGTGCCTTCCGACTTCCTCTCATGTAAATTGTGCGAATCTAGAACCTTCATGTTTATGCAGTCTTCTAGTTCTGGCAATCACTAGTTCTTTTGTGATTAGGCATTCTGTGTACTATCTGCGAAGAGTGCTCGAACACTGTCATCATCTGTGAGATTTCTCAGTGACAACAGGAGGTTGTTGTGTGAACTTTTTAATCGTCACAGCATCAAAATACTGTATGTCAGAAGTCTATGATAAGTCTTTGGTTTTATAAAGCTTGAAGGCAAGGCATTAACCTAAACGACAGCAACTTTGTTCACATTCACCACCTCCTGTTTTAGCGGCACTGCTCTTGCCTCACATCCAAGCATTTTAGCAATATTCTATATGGTGTCATAATTTTTAGCCATAATAGATTGGTTCGATAAATATCCAGAATTCGTTAAATTTTCGTGCCAAATTCTACTGTGTTCATTGGGCCCAATTTTGAAAGTTCCAAACACTTCCCCTCATCGTGGCAGGTGATGCCAACTACTTTAGTACCAAACCTGAAGGCCAAGAGCAGCGTGTTGGAAGCTTTAGAACTACGTGCGTAGCCACAGTTCTGATAGTGGCTACATGCGGACGGAAACCACAACCGCTTTTGAAACGGTCATGTACAGTGACGACGAAACTGACATAACTGAAAGTGCGCATGCGCCTAACGCTCAACCAGTCAAAGAGACTATGCTTTCCACAAACACTGCAAACTAAACTGCGGCCGATACGATCATCAATAGCACAAGAAAAACAAGAAAACCTACATAGTTTTTGAAACGACGTGTGTGGCTAGCGCATGCAAATTAAAAATGCAACTACCGTTTGCCACAACCGCCGTGCACAAAACTGCGGTCGCTGTAATGCGACCATCGATAGCGACTGGCTACAATCTCCTAACGCACACAGCTAACATAGCGGTAGATAAAAGTAAATAACGATGTAAAAAAGGCACGAAGCATTTCAGCGTTCCTGTTGATCTTCGCTTATGACTCTGGTGAAGTGGGCTTTGGCCCTTTGTTTTCGGTTGGCCTGAAGCGAAGCAGCCAGCTGTGCTATCCCTCATTATTTTGTTCACATGTGTCCCAGAAAGTCATACACGAGTTCTTTTGACAGAAATAGATATGTCATGTGTCTTGGCTTGAAAATTGATATCGCTCTCTATCTCCTTTTTTTTTATATAAGTAGTTTTAAGTGATACAAATATTTTCGCTCCCCCTTTGAGATTCGCTCTCTCTACTGTTGTTCGTAAACCTACACTCGTTGCGTGTTCAGTCACTACAAGCCATTATAAGATCGTAGCACTGATGTTTACACTCGCGTGGTTAGTTGACAAAGAGAGTTATTAAACTGAGAGAAATGTTGCTCTTTTCTCAGCTGCCCTGTTCGCATACAAAGACCTGTGCTCACTCTCCTTAAAGTTGTCTGCACCTGCTGTTTTCCAGCATGCTGACAGCATGCTGGAACAGCAGACAGCATGCTGTTAGCCAGTATTCAGCATAAACTGCCATACATTGCTGATTATAAGCCGACGTTTTTTTTTTCATAAAATGGCCTTCCAAAGTTTGGGCATCGGCCTGTAATTGAGGTCGCCGTATGCACAGAATCATAGTTTACTTTTCTGAGAGGTCCAAAGAACGTTTGTCGTCCTCTCATTCACTTTTATTCAGCGCATCGATAACATCAGCCGCAGAGGCGACGGAGTAGCGGAAACTATCTCCCAATTCGTCCGCGCCGTTTCCGTAGCCGGACATTTTTACGATCTGCTGCAACAAACTCGAAACTACAGTATTGCTATGGCGGCTAGAGGAGGAGGTGTTAGCAACGACGTATCAGAGATACAGCATTTTTTCTATGACGAGTCGCCAGCGGCATCACGGTTTCAATGGTAGTGCCACCACATCGACGCGTCTGTCGGGCAAGATTGACAACAACGCCGGCACTCGCCGCATATAAGTATGACAGTGCACTTGGCTCTCTAACAATGCGACATACGTTTATCCGTCACGAAAAACTCGACATGAGATGCATCTCTCGCTTGCAAGAAATGTGACATTTATCGTTTGCGAAAGACATGACATGCGTTTCTTGCTTGACAGCTTGCGAACAGTGCTTGTGACTAGGCAATTCAAAATTCAGATTTCCCGCAAAGCACCATGGGCGTTCCCTGGAAAAGCTGACAGCGCCATGTGGGCTTGCAACACTTTTGGGGGAACGAAACCATATGACCAGTCGAATGCGCCAACAAACGTCCTCACGGCTTTTTGCCTGTTCGCTATTTCTGCATTTCACCTCGCTTGTAAGCGGTGGTGTGTGCGATTTGCGAAGCAGCTTGACGGATGCCAAGATGCCACCACTATACTGGCAATAGTGCAGTGCTGCGTACCTGTCAAGTCTCCCGGATTGGCCAGGAGGCTCATGGATTTTGACCGTTTTTTTCTGGTTGTACAATTGTCATGAAAATCTCCCGTAAATTGAAATTTGTGTCTGATCTGGCCGCATTGACAAAAAAGCAGCTCGATCCCTCCAAGCTTTTCGAACCTACCCCATTTTATTATAAATGAGTTTAACTCTTTCGCAACTGCGCCATAGGGCATCGATGTCATGGTATCAATGTTTTGAATGCGCCGCGAAATATTTGTTTCAGTGGCTACGGACGTGTGGCGCCCTCTGATGTGCTCAAAAGTAACTATAGTTTTGGTTTCGATTTTGTTTTGCTGTTTTTACCGCAAGGAAGCACTGAGAAAAATATAAGTTTGAGTCGGGGTGACGGCGTAGTTTGGCAATCATTGCTGTGGCGGCCCCACGCGCTCCTCGATGCCTAAAGGCAAAACCGAGCTCTTCGGCCGCTTCGAAGTCCGATTCTTTTAATGACAGCAGCAGTGAAGTCTAGTGATGATGTTATTCATTGGACTTCAGTTCAGACAGTAACATTTTATCGCAGTAGCCGGGGACATCAGCCACTGTGCGCACGTAAGTTTCATTTAGCGCTCACAATGTATATATAAATGCAGTGTGCAGTCTTTATAGCTGACGATATCTCCACCGCAATATACGGTGGAGATATTTTGCCCGATGTTCCAAGACGTGTAAAGTTTGAGCCCAAGCGACAGCCTGGGGTCCACATTGACGCTACACGGCAAAGTGGAACCCGGCAGTTCGCAAAAGTGCAGGATTTTTGTGTGATGTTTTTTTACGGCTGAAGTTATCAGGATGTTGTGTAACAAGACGAATAAGTACGCCTGGATAAACATTCTTGACACGCCCACCTATGCTCGTCGTGACGGCTCATGGGAAGAAGTGACTCCGCTAGAGATGATGCGTTTCATTGCGATCATCATCTACATGGGAATTGTTGAAGTACCGCAATTGCAGTTATACTGGAGCACGGGGAGTATATACAGGGGCCTTTTCCCATCAAAGATTATGCCCCGAAACCAGTTTGTAGCTCTACTAGCCTTTTTACACGTATCAAACCCGGACGACTTCGCAAATGAAGCTACTGTTGGCAAGATCTAGAAGGTGTCATGGCTTTTGAAGCACATCAATAAGACATCAGCAAAATTTTTTCAACCAAAGCGGGACCTCTCGGTTGATGAATGTATAGTGAAGTCCAAAGGCAGATCAGGAATGAGGCAGTATATCCGGGACAAAGTGACTAAGTGGGGCTACAAACTTTGGCTACTAGCAGACTCCGAAACAGGTTATACCCTACTGTTCTCTGTATACACAGGCAAGCGTGAAAGACCAGGACCACATGGCCTAGCTTTTGATGTGGTCAGCAGCCTGTCCTCAGAGTAATCTAGACCAGGGGTACAGGATTTACATGGACAACCTCTACACCTCTGCGAAACTTTTTGACCATCTGCTGGAGCGCAAAACCCTTGCCTGTGGTACCACCAGGAAAGATCGCCAATTGTTTCCCGACTGAGCTGAAGAATGTTGCCTGGGAACGGAGAGCTCAGCGTGGAGACGTTTGGTGGCTTTGCGAAGGCAACATTTTATATATGTAATGGAAAGACCGGCGCGGCTTGAACCTGATGAGTACCATTCATACAGCCAACCAGTTTGTCCCAGCCACACGAAGGCAGAAGACTGGTGGCAGATAGACTTTGATTACCATCAAGAGACCTCTGCTTGACCAGGACTACAATGCTGGCATGCTGGGTGTGGATAAATCGGACCAAATAATTGGAACCTATATTGTCCTGAGGAAATGCGTGCTCTGGTGGAAAACCCTGTTTTTTCATTGCATGGACATAGCGTGTGTCAACAGTTTCATTCTCTACCAAGGCCATCGAAAAGAAAACCCAGGAGTCCCACAGCTAGCCCAAAATGCCCTGATTCGACCAGCTTGCTTTTAGAGAGCAGCTCATTCAGCAGATCTTGGATTATAATGACATCGATGAAGACCGTGCCCCATATCCAAGTCTAGAGCCAATTCGCCACCAACCCCAGAAAATGGAGAAGTCGAAAAACTGCAAGCTGTGCTACCGAAAGAAGAAAGTAGAGCAGAAAACATATAACAAGTGCAGCACATGCGAAGTGTTCTATGCTTCACGTCCTCCCGCAACTGCTCTGAGTGGCACAGCAGTCACCACGCCTAACTTGAAGGGCCATGAAAAATAGAGTTTATTACATACAGAACTGAAACTTTCTGGAATGTGAGCTGACATCATGTGTAACAAGTTTGTAACTTCCAGAATTTTGAATTTAATTTTGCAGCTTATTTCACCTGCATGTGTATGTTTTGTTTATTTCTGTTTCGTGTGGTTTTTCCTTTGTTAACAAATAATATAACAAACAGTTTCGTACCTATCAGCCTGTAGTTATTTTTGTTCGATAGCTTAATTAAAAGTGTACAATTAGGTATATCACAATGCAAAATGCAATAAAAATTACCCAAGAAAAAAAAATGTGATCGAGGCTGTCGAAAATGGGGCCTTTTTTCGCAGTTGCGAAAGAGTTAAGAGGCGTTCATGTAAACGTACAGTATAATCTCAGTGATGCGAAACCGCAGCAGATAAGAATTCTTGAAATTCCCCAGCCAAATTTTACTATGTTCTTGGGCCTCAACTCGAATGTTCCGATTTCATTTCCTATCGCGGCGGGTGCTACGAACTTTAGTACAAAACCGTCGAACGAAGGTGGAAAGCAGCGTACTCGAAGCTTCAGAAGTATGTGTGCGACCGGCGCACTACACTGCGTGTGGTCGTCGTTGCCACAATCGCTGAGGACGAAACCATGGTCGCTCTTGACATGATCATGTATGGTGACGACGTAACTGACAGAAATCCTAAAGTCTGCGCTCAACCAGTCAAAGCAATGCTGCTTTCTGCAAAATTTGCGGACAAAACTGTGGCATATGGCATAAAATGACTTAGTTTTGAAGGCCCGTGCGCAGCCAAGCGCATGGGGATTGTAAAATGAACTACCGCTTGTCGCAACCGCCGCACACGAAACCGCGGTCGTGGCGGCGCGATAGCGATCTACGAGCTCCGAGGGCACGCAACGGTAGGTTAAAGGCAGTAAATACGTAAAAATTTTTTAAAAAGTTAGTTTCGCCGCAAGGGCAAATCAATAAATGTGACAGGAACAACTCGGAATGTAACGCTGAAAAGGGCAAGCAGATCGAAACGTGCACTATGCTGCTCACACACAAATGACACGAAAACGATACTCTCGGGACAAAAGTGAACTAACAACGTTTACCCCTCGACACGTAACGCGCTGTTTAAACAAAAATGATGCAAGATACGTAATCACTGGTACAGATGAGCACAAACTAACAAGTGTCCCAGTTGTTATACCTCGCTGTTTTCGCAAAAGGGGCCTGTGCAGAGACCCAAGTGACCTTTGTGGGCCCTGCCAATAACGCTTTCGTTTTAGTGAAAGCCGAAGGCACACAATTCCCCCACCAAAGGATGAGCGCGCGCACAGTCATCCATCCATGGGGCAAAGTACACGTGAGCGATAAGCACGCGTCGGCGCATCGCAACGAGCTCTGCGCCGAGCGCGGGCGTTTTTTTTTCTTTGAGTGTTCATATATATATAGATACGTATACATATACAGTGAAGGGCGGCGGTAGTGGCGATGGCAAAAAAACAGCCTTGACTGTCCATATAATTGCTATGGCAATAAAAAGGGGCAAGGCGCGTTCTGGCGTTCCTGTCAAAAGAATCTAGTTGTGAGCAAAACTTTGACCCGTGCTTTTGCAGCAGCTAGCTGCGCCGTCCTGTCCGTTCACGTGTGTCCCAGGAAGACACAGGCGAGTTATTTTGACTGAAATAGATTCTGCTAGTTGTGTTCATCCTTTGAGACTCTCACTTTAGTGAAGAACTCTACCCTCGTGTGTCACTCCTAGCCACAATAAGACCGCAACGATGTTGGCACTTGCGATTGAGACCCCCCTCCCACCCCTTTTGTTTTTCAAGATGTTTTTTTGTTTGTTTGTTCTTAATTTTTTGGTGTCTGCTTTTGAGCACTGACTTCATCAAGGTGGGCTAACGCAGCAGCTAGCGTTAGAGTGTGCACGCTGTAGCGAGGGCAGGGACACAGAATGTGCTCTATTGTGTCGGTGCTGCAAGCAGTGATTGCAAGAATTACTCGTAAAAGTAGTTCATGATGTATTGAAATTGAAGGTGGCTAAAATTCCGTATTCTTGCAGGAAAGTTGCTGACTTCGGCAACAGTGGATGATACCCCCTGCACGTTGTGTCACTGATTTTGTTTGCATCTGCTGTACAGGGACTAAGGGCCCTTCTAGCCCCTCCATACAGCATGCAACCAGTACTTCCCATGAGGGCACTACCGCCTCTGCCCAAACCCTCCTTCTTGGAACCAGCTCATCGATACAGACCCCGCGTCGCCCAAGGGAGTTGGCGCCAAGACAACGGCGTTATACAGCGCCACCCGAAACCCTTCTCTCCCTGGAGGACTATACCGAGGGTATGTTGCCACTCTAAATGTGAAATTAAGATGGACAAAAAAGAAAAATTGTGAGACGAGATAGGTTAATAGATTACTTGTCTAAACGTCTAAAGGTCAGTCATCTGGTTGTTGCATAAAGTGGGGTTTCTAGACACTGGGTTAATAGATCAGGAAATTCTGAGCCACTGAGAATTTATTGGGAATACAGTCAAACGACACAAGTTTTTTCAAGCTTGCCCTTATACAGCATAGACCGCTTTTAAGCTAAGTCACCGGAGTCGTGAATATCCATACTAGAAGCGATACCGCACCATAACAAAAACATTTTTCGAGGCCTTTACATGTGTCAAATGTGGCATGTAACTTGGTTGCAAATTTGTATGCGGTTAAATTTGCAAATGTTGAAGAACATGTCCGGGGTAGCGACATAATAGAAATAGAAAAAAAATTGAAAAAAAAATACCGCCGTAGCGAAAGGTCGCCAACTAACTTATTGTGCCTCCTCATTTATGCAGACTTCATTGCTGTACCACATTAAACAGAAACTATACGTCGAACGACAATAGAAATTCTGAACGCTCTCAGTTTCTTGGGTGCATTTGCAATGTCGAAAACAGTGACCACCACAAACCATTCTATGCATGCCCTTGTTTTCATTGATTCGGTGCTAATTACAGTTTCAATCATTTGCTGTCGCTACTTGTTTAACCCAGCATGTGGGTTGTTTAACCCAGCATGTGGGTTGAAAGTTGGCGTGCAATCACAGGAAGCTTTCCCAAGGCAAAATGATTATTGGGTTTAAAAGAGGTCACACTCACAAACTAAGCCAAAGGCAGCACGCTGGAAGCAAAGTTTCAGTTTGCAGTTTGGCAAACAGCCACAGCAACTATCCGGCAAAAGTCAGCCAAGCTTGTATGTTGTCTTACTGGTGGCAAAGGCAAAGCTTGATTGGTCTTGAAGCATTGTCATCTGCAGAGGAATTAAGGTCACACATGTGAGAGCTGCACTCTGATGACTCAACTATATTTTCCAGTCAGAAAAGTGAAGAGCAAAACAGCGGTAATGAGCACTTGATGTGGGCACGGGCGGCTGTCTGCTACACCTAACAAACTGCGAAAGCAAATGGGGTAAAGGATTTCTCCATCGCCTACGCAATGACTGCCCTTACTCGCATCATGTATTTGTGCAGTTAAGGAGCACTTGCAGTGCTAAGATCCTTTCTCAATGGGTTTTGTAAGATAGAATTTAATAAACGTTCACTTCATGAAGTGTACAAAATAACCCCGTTTTTCTTGGCGCAAGATTGCAGCATATTGCCTCCTTGAGCAGACACCACTATTGCGACATAATAGGCAAGTGTGCTCTTTGCTAGAAGCATTGCTGGCTTTGAAAGTGTGCCCTTATGACGCTCGAAAAACCCATTGGTCATCTAATAAAATGATTTGTCTGTAGAATTCAGTGCATGTGGTGAAAGTGGTCAATATGCTCACGCGTGACGCAGATGTGTTAACTGCGACATTGCCGGCTCTGTGCAGGTAGTGAACGGGATCTCCCTGATGGTCCGCCCCAACCTGCCGAGCCGAGCAAGCACCCAGGCTCGGGGGCAACCTGGCGCGACTGTCTGTTTGGCACCCCTCCCACACCCTGCAGCACCCGCTCCCAGTGTCCCTGAAAGATCGTCTTTCCCGCCATGCTCCTTCTCTTCTGCGCCCTGATAATGTTGGGATGTCAACGAGCTCATCCTCTTCAACTGCCACCACTTCTTGCCTCGCAGATCTGTGACAGATGCCCAATTCGAAACCTTTAAAGTGTGTCAGCTGCTGCATACTTTGCTTATTCTGCCAGTTGACTGTACCTTTTAGGTTTCACTTGCCTTACCACGGGGGTGTTTTTTTCATATTTGAATATCCTCGGACTGTATCTACACGTCTCCCTTCTCTCTTTGGCCTGTCAATACTTTTTTTACTTTTTGGGCATCTCATCTTACTAGTTTGCCTAAATATAAGATATTTTTTATGGGCAGATCGTGCAGAAGGTTTACATTCTTGGGTGACTAGAGCTGCCTGAAGTGTTCACCGCTTGGCTAGGCCCCTTCTCTTCATTTTGCCAAGAGTTAAACACTTCATTTCTTGCTCAGCATACTTTTGTACCTGCGAAGCAATTGTGGTTCTGCCACCCACGTGTAGCACATTTTGTGGGGGGGGGAAAGGGGCGTTGTACAGATTTATTTGCGTGTTGCACATTATACTCGAGTGAGTGACAGAACTTTATTGTTGATCTGGCATAAAGGGGTTACGCAATACTTAAACATTACTTCGTGTAGGGAATAACAACGCATAAGTGGCTGAAAAAGAAATTCAAGTGGCCAATAACTTAAGTGCTTGTTCGAAAGAAGTAGCCTTTGTGAAGGTATTTCGTTCTCAAAATTTCTACCAAGCATTAGTTCTCTTAAAGGACAAGCTTTAAATTATCTATTTGCCATGTGCACAGAAATCGGCAATAGAAAAAAAAATTTTCAAGGAATCTAACTGACGAGGCACAGATGCATTCGTCTACTACTGCTGATTTCGGAAGCACAAATAAATCAGTACAGCCATTAACAAAAAAGAGGGTGGGGTGGGGGCAATGACAAGTGATATGAGCTGAAGTCAGCACCTTCAGTTTAATGTTATTGAACTGCTTTTTTGAAAAGTTTTGTAAAGTAGTTTTCTGCACCACACTGCAGCCAAAGGTTTACGTTGATGTTTGAAGTCTTTGTCAAACACTACATGCGGAAACTAGGCCAAGTTCAAAGTTGCAAGGAGCTTTCTGTAACACAAGGATTGAAAAAATGGTCATTCGTGTGAATGTAAAACAGTTGAGAGATGTTAAAAAGAAAAACGGTGCTTGATTGTAAGTTTTAACTTTTCGTGCACTTGCTTCTCTTGAAGTGTTTACATCCACATTGGCTCTGGGTACTTGTGTGTGGAGTGTGTGTCTTATGATGTGGTCTTGTTTCAGTGGCATAACTGTCAACTATTTATTTCAACCAGAGCATTACCATTCACAGTATGTGATCCTATCAGTTTTGAACAAATCGGCTGCTGAAGCGATGCACAGTGTTCCTACTAGTGTTAAGTGCACTGTGGCTATGACAAGTCTCTTGACTCTGTTAGCATACTTGGCTTAGGTGCAGAGGTCTTGTTGAGGAACGGGCCATTCTGCACTTATCAAATTTTCAGCTGATTAGTGCAATGTTTATGAATGTCTCTATCATATAAGATAACCTGCCTTGGGCAATTGTATGACACATCACTCAGAATGACACTATTCCTACCTGGTGTAAAAAATTGTTGGTTTTAAGACGTTCAGCTCATAATGTACCACTGATTTATATATTTCTATGTGCAAAGTGCAGCTTTCGAGCTTGTCTGTTAGAATTAGGTCCAGGAAGTATACTTAATGTAAGACTCTGTTCAAGCACTGAAAGCTGAAGGTACCGTTCTTTTGTTACACGAGTTATACGTCTCGCTCCAGAGGTAAGTCAGGGGCATACAGGGAAACTGGTTGCCCATTTCATGCGTGTATTCAAACTCCCTTTTTTGTTTACTCTGTCCATGATCAGTTTTTCTTCTTTATAGAGGTTCGCACAGTACACCTGCGTCTGTGATTATGGCGGGCAGCATTACTCAACGACTTAGTCGCTGCTTTCGCCAACTTTTTCTGTTACTGTGGTGCCAGAAAAGCTTTTGCGTAAACTGTTACAGTTTTCGCATAACGTTCATGGCAGATTGTGATACTGTTTGCCTCATGTGCAGGTATTTTTGTGTAGCTTTTTTTATGCCGTACAAAAAGACATTTTAGAAAGACTGTGATCGACAGCTAGTCATATAGCGTGTCATATAGCTAGCTATTAAAAAAAAAACTATTGGGCAACTGACGCCTGTATCGGTTGGCAAACAGATGTGAGAGGCAGAACACAAGAGTACTTCAGGAACAATGCAACCGATCCACACTGCAATAATTTCTTGAAAAACATCAGCTTCTTCACTTTATGTGCAATTGTCACTGTTAAGCACGCACAACATATGCGTAGTCGGTTATATTGTTTGGCGGGGTGGCTTGTGTGTTGTGCTGAGAAGTAGGCAAGCCTCGCATTCTATAGTGTCAGCTGCAGCATTAAACCAAAAAAGGATGGTGTGCAAAGGTGTGCAATGTTTGCTAGACATTATTTTTTTTCCCTCACCATTCCTTGTGTTGTCCTTTGTTTCAAACATCTATTTGTGCCAAGAATCGATAGTATATTATTCCATGTTTGTGGTAGTCATGAGAAGTATTCGCAAGAAAAGACACAGTAATGATCTCAGGTTTTTGCCGGAAGTGGAAGCGCTATTTCCCGGTTGATTTTCTTGCACATGTACACCAAGTGAAATCGTTTTGTGACAGCCTTTTTTCTTTTTCTACTCTCTCTCTCCAGACTTTCATGCAGTTTGTTCTATTCTTTCTGCAAGACAGAATAAGAGACTTTTCGTATATTAACGATGTTTTGACATTGTAATGTGGTGCTAATTGCTTTTTTTTTTCTCATGCTGAATATTTTTATTCGTACGAAAGGAACAATAGATCATTTTTTTAGCTGGCATTTTTATACAAGTGCTTTTTTTTTTTTCAAATGGAGATTTTTTTTTTTTTATAAAATCAAGTGGCCAGTGTGAAGAAAACTTCTCTTGGCCCTTTCTTTGCCTCTATGCAAAGTGGTGCTGTTTTGTAGCTCCAGAAATTACTGTTTATAATATAAAGCGTGTATTTGCTGGTATAGTAACAATAAATAAAAGTGAATGAGCATAATCAATATTTTGTCATTTTTAAATTCTATGAATTGAGAGTCGAAAGTGCAGGATTGAATGGCGTGGGGGTGCACGCATACGCGAAAACTTGTTTTGTATTGTCTCGGCAAGATAGATTTTGCCAGTTTGAAAAGTATTTCAGTACGCATTGCAGTATACCAAATTTGGCAAAATGAAATGCTCTTTCCAAAAATATGTTGAAGAGCATCAAAAATATTTTGGAATGAATAAAAATGTGAAAAGTGTAGTTTTTGGTTGCTGGCTGGTAAACTCTATGTATGCAAAAATAATAAAAAAACATTCAGAATATATACTTTGAGAATAAATGACCGAAGAACTGTATTAAAAATAATAAATTGTACAAGTTTCTATTCAGGTAGGCGAAGAAAATCGAAATCGAGGTGTTCCTTCATTGCTCGTGCCATGCGGTGAAACACTGCTTAGTCTTTTGAAAGGCAAGAGTGAACTCTTTCAGTTTTCAGAGTAAATATTTGGTCCTCCCCCACTTCCTCTCGATAAAAGCCTGCGAGTGTTCCAATATAGATGGATACCCATGATGTGAATGATTACCCTATAAGTCCGGTGTTCAATGAACTTCGCTATTTTGTCTAGCCTCGCCTCTTGCCATGAGCTACCTCACTTCGCATAGGTTGCCATTCCAATGTATGCATCAACGTATTTTGTTTGCATATTTGCACATTGTGTTAAAAAAAACAATATTGCAAGCAATTCTAAATCTTTTTGCGCTGCTCCGTGGTCACAGCCAAGATGTGCTCCAGTGGTGTTCTTGTCGCGAGGAGAAGCTTTGCAGCCAGTGCCAGCACACCACACCCCAGCGACGTGTGGACCTCGCACGTAAGCAACGCAGCTATAAGATTGTGCACATAGGTCGACACCTACGCCTTTGCAGTTGAGGAGATAACTTGAGGCCGTAAACCCATGAACAGCTGCAGATGTCTCGGGCTGATGCAAAATCCTCGCTCAATTCAGAAGTGGTTGCTAGATAGTTTTGAGTGGCACACGTTTTTTGCAGCGCAGGTGCGCTAACATGTGCGCGTGACTCCGCTGCCATAGGAGTGACTAGTGATAGACGCGGCTCTTTTGTCTGATACAATACAAGCGAAACCAAAGCTGCTGGAAACTGGCTAAGAAGGCCACCTCTACACTTTACACATGTGGCGAACCTTTGAAAAAAAATTTTTTTTGTAGATTAATTTTCTCCCCACTCCAGGCAGCAGCTCTCTACTGAATAGCTGGCATAAATTTCTGGCAATTGTTACTGCTCAACACTGTCAGATTGAGAAGCTAACACCTTAATTTGATGTTTGTCTTGCAAAGGTTATTTTGATTACAGAACTTTGATGTTACTGTAGCATAACCATGAGGGGCACACACTTCTGTCAATTTGCATCTTCAAAGTGCATTTTCCAAATAACACACAAGCAAAGTACATTTTCCCAGTAACACACATACATTGCTAGCACAGTGGTCGTCTGCCAAAAATCACTATGTTGCTTAAACGGTAAAATACAAATTGATTCTGAAAGTTGAGTGGCTGGATAAACTACTAGAATGTGCTGGGTGTATGACAAACAAATTAAAAATGCCAAAACCAACGATCCAAAGCTTTCGATCACCATTGATCGATTTGAAAAGGCGTGGTAACGAGAGAGTCGAGATGATTGCTACACTCGTGGAAGCTGCTTGTTTGGGCAAGAGCTGGCCTTTTTTTTCTCCCTCTCTTTTGTTATGCAGATTACTGCATCACCTTTAAAGCCAATACATTGTTGCCACTGTACAAAAGGAAAGTTCTGTATTGAATGTCGTGAATGCATGTGCATTTTCACTTCCTACAGATACCTGACGACTTGAGTTTCTTTTTTAATATTAGCCCCACAGAACGCAGGGACAGAACTACTGGTGGTTTTGTATAATGATATTTATCATTCATCGCTATAGCAGCTTTGCTCATATTTTGGTAGATTGGCTTAGGGGTAGCAGAATGCAAGAACATTTGTACTGTATTTCACTATAGTAAGGCATGGATAAAAAATAATCCAGATGATTTCATATCATTTAAGGGGCCCTGCTACACTTTTAAGAAGCGTGGTCTGAAAATGCTGCCAATCGGCAGTTGAGGCTCTTGAAAACATGCGAGCGAAGCACATTATGCGCAACAGTCCCTTAATTTACAATTTATTCTCAAAAGTCTGCTAGAAGTCATTCCCTGTTCTCTTTACAAATGATGCCATACATCTAAATGGCTGTGCCAATAACCAACTTCATTGCCATTGGCTGATTTGAGCATCACTACCTGCATTGTTGCCTCGGCCACCATATGCGCATTTCGCTGAAAGTAAGTGGCGCATTCGAAAAGGGCTCAAGGTCATGGTGCGTGCGAGTCTTTACTCTCTTCTCCTGTGCCACTCCTCCCTGCTTTGGTCTGGAGAAAAGAAGAAAGCAATTTTTGGTTGCGGCAAATCTTTTCTCGTACTTGACGTAGTCTAAAAATTATTGTTGCAGTCGATTCGTGAGGCGACGAACTCCTACAATGAAGCCATTCGATGGTTATTTGAAAAATAGTTGCAGCACTCCTTTGAAGTGCCTTTAACAATCTTTTGGCAGACCTCTCAGTAAGCAAAAAAAAACTTTCAATTGCTAACAACGCACTGCATGAAACTAGACGTAAAACAACACGCAACTTGCTGCATGCATTCAATGTATTTCATTCATACATAATATGTGGAAGTTGCTGCTGCTTTATTAAATATCTGTTGCCATAGTGCAAGAAATAAAATACTGGAAATGTGGCGATCTTGCCGACCTTAGGATGAAGCCACCTCTTGATAACAATCATATTCATTCTATTATATTTCTTCAGCTTTGTTACGCAATGACTGGTCACAAATTTTGGCAGTACAATTGTTCTACATTGGTAAGAACAGTTCAGTGGTCACGGAAATATTCGACACTTTTAAACTTCACGTGAGCAGCTCGATAGACCTGGTGCTGAAACAAAGAAATCGTTTTAGAGGTTTCCGGGGCATTGAGTATTGCAGGTACACGGAGAAATTTTCGAGATAGTGGTGTTCTGCCCCCCCCCCCCCTTTTTTTTTTTGTAAATAAATACTGTTTCGAGGACATCACTTAAACATCAACTGTTCTCTTGGAACCCTTTTCCCAGTGTATGCACACTGGCTACGTGATGTGGCAAAACGGAGGAGGGAAGGGGGGGAGCCCTTGACCGCCCCGCGAGTGCCTTTAAGACACCCACTGCAACGTCGCCACAGCACACCCTGAGTAAGGAACCAGGTGGGTTCCGAAACGTCGGGTTCTTACATATTTTCACTTACTTTACTTTGGTTGGAGTGAAAATAGTTTTTCTAGATCATTTAAATAGTTACTTACCCTAGCTGTGTATCTGTCATTATGGGCAGTAACAGCGCACAAACTTGTGGAACGAAGAGAAGAGACACAAACAAGCGCTGACTCTCAATTGAAGAATTTATCGAAATATACAAATTGTCTGAACACATAAAATAAAAACACACAGAACATGCGCAGAGGGGCCGGCGAAGGACTGTGTCGACATCATTAATAATTTTACGCTACGGGTAACTGCGCAGGCGTGACATATTCCATTCAAACAAACGTGCTATTGATTAGGATTTCTTCTTTTTCATGTAAATATATTGATGTCAGGCTAACGCAGGACTCTCCTTCTTTTTTGATATAGAATGCTTCCACTAGTTCTCTTGTGATCTGATCACTATGTTTGAAGAGCACTGTCGTTTCATTGAACAAGGGCCTGCACCCACACGTGTGGCAGTGCGTTTCTTTAACGTGCACCCAAATCTGAGCACACAAGCCTTCGCCGGCCCCTCTGCGCATGTTCTGTGTGTTTTTATCTTATGTGTTCAGATAATTTGTATATTTCAATAAATTCTTCAGTTGAGAGTCTGCGCTTGTTTGTGTCTCTTCTCTTCGTCCTGTAAGTTTGTGGGCTGTTACTGCCAATTATGTATCACCAACTAGCCCATTTATCAGTCCTATCTGTCATTATTGACAGACCCAACTTGTCTTGAAAGTGATGCGTAGATAGTGTACGCATATTGACAATTGAACATAATGTTGGCCATATAAGAGGAAATTAGAAGAGAAGACTCATCATTTTGTCTCCATTATCAGCATCTTTGGTTGGTCATAAGTTGTGCAAGGGTAAGCCAGGATTCTGCTCGATAGCTTCAGAGTGTTTTCAATGCTCAAGTTATTGTGCAACCTGTGTACATAGTTTGCTCACCGTCATGAGCATGGGGCGATTTATACTTGGCAAGAAGTTTGCTCTTCTAAATGCAAAAATTTGAGAGTGTCGAAATCTCGCTCGTACTATGTAGCTAAATCCGGTTGCAGATATGTAAATGTTGCCGATAATCTGTCATCAGCAAAAATTATCAGGACTTCTTTCCATATACATAAAGCCATCACCCAGAAAAAGAATTTTTCAATTATCTGCTTTCTCATTTCAGAGCATCAAAAAAGTTGTTCTGAAATCTTGTCAAATGTAATAAAAAAGATCTAGTGTGTATTCACTAGCTTCAGCATGACGGTAAAGAAATAGAAAGTAGCTTAGGTAAGTCCAGCTGTTTCAACACATTTTTTGCCTTCATATTTTCCTTGTGTCCGTCAAACAGCGTTGCGTCTATCAAACAGCGTTTTGCCCTCGCCTACTAGCAGATGCATGGCAGATATGGATGATGTAGCTCTTGATGAAAACAGCATTCAGTGTTTTCTTGAACACTTGGACCCTAGCAAAGCAGGAAGACCGAATGGATTGAGAGGTGCTTTTCTCAAAATGTGTACACCGTTCTTCGCGCCCTTCCTTAAGGTTCTATACTAAAGATCATTGAGAACGAGAAGCCTGCCATACGACCAAAAAGTGGCATGCGTTGTGCCTGTGTATAAATTAGGTTCTCATGGACTTGTCAACAACTACAGACAGATGTCC